CTCAAACCTTATTTCCAGGCGGCCCTGGCAGCTGGGAGGTCCGGCTGGTTTCCGGCTGGCCGCGACTGACATGACTGGCTGCTTGCATCCCACCCATCCCCCCCATAGATAAGAGAAAGAAAGAAAAAGCGTGTGAGAGTGTTTATGTGTATGAGTTGGCGTGCGGATGGAGTCCACCTCCAGTGTGAGAAGAGCATAGCGCTCCGGTCTAGCAGAGGACGATGATCCTTGATTCGGGTTAGGACTTGTCGTTTCATGGCCAGGCCTTCTACCAGGCTTGCGAGGCTACCTGAACAACCTTGAAATCTTGGCAGCTACTAGTAGTATATCTCTATCCAAGCAGACTTTTCCATCTCTACGCTGTATGTTATATCAGATACAAGAAAAGAGGGTTTACGTAAAGCTGTATCTGGGTGGCGAGGGAATATATCGCAGGATAAACTACATCGTGAAACAGACAAATGGCCGGGCAGGTAACGAAGGGGAAAGAAAGAGAGAAAACGTATGGTATCGGTCGACCTCCTTCCGTTTCATGCCGGACTCACAGTTGAGCCGAACCTCGAGGAGTGAAGAAGAAATAATCTATCTTTGGTAACATGGGCAGTTTCATCAATTCGAGGGCCAATCCAATCACCACAATCGCCCAGTGAGTGGCATTAATTGGGACCCCCATGCAAAAATCTGCTGCTGCTGCAAGTTTGCATTGAGGCTCAAAGGTCCACAACCCACGTGCGCCCGACTAACGAACGACATGCGACGACGACGAAGACGACGGCGACAACTTGACCTACCACTTGGCTGACTGCTTGCTCGTATTGCTACCTGACCTGCACTGTTGTGTACGAAAGAGGAACAGGGCCTTGTTGGAATGACAAATAGCATGATTCAGTGCATTGTTGTTTGATTGCCACATCTGGACAGCATCGACGACAAGTACAGGTCGCCAAACAGAGCCCAATGCCCCAATTGGGATACACTGACTCTTCGGAAGTGGCAAATCTGGCAAGGGACCCGACAGAGTGGTAGTAGTAATTTCGATACATTTCTACACTATCTGTTGCAAAGGACCCTTTCAGGGTCCATGACAAACGACTATTTCACCAACTACCAAGGGGATTGCGCAAAGGGACGTGATGCAATATCAAGGAACGGTTGGTTCGGAAAACAATACTTGTGTAGATGCTGGCTAAGCCTTTTGTGTGCCCCAATGCCCAATTATGCGGCTCAATGGGAAGAGGGTCCCGGGTGAGACGACGGCGCCGTGAGATTTGGGGATGATTTTCCCAATTTTCTCCATTAGACTGACGTCGGGCTTGAATGAAGTTTGCCACCCAAAAGAAAAATGAATGATCGCCCTCTTATGATTGACCATTTAACGACTGGCCGGAAGATCTGAGTAGTGGCAGTTGGGTAGCTTGGCAATTTGGTAGTACATCTGGATAGGTAGTGTGGTCGTTGGAATACGTAGTCGTTCGGGAGGCCACCCAACCAACCCGCAAAACTCCAACGAAATCATCATTGACTGGGTCTTTGCCTGTTCCTGCATAAGTTGATGTTCTGGCTAGGAAAGAAGGCTCTTCTCCACCCCCGGGCGCGAGCCGATGTGCTCGTTGGTTCACGACCGGCCTCAACGCCGTCTCTACGACGGTGCCAAGTAGCTTGTCCGAATATACCGGGTTTCTACCAGGGAAAACCGCAATCAAGAAATGCCATTTTGTGTGCATCGGAAACAGGCATGGCTTGACCAAAAGTAGATGATCGCGGGCAAGCCAAACAAAAAACGGCTCTATACCACTCTGTACACTACACTGCATTATTTACACCACACCATACTACACTTTTCCTAACAAGTCCCACCCATCCCTCCAAGCTTGCTGGGCTACGGCTGACTTGACGACAGTCCTGATCACTAAACACTTGAGATTTGGTGACCCGGCCGGCCATGAACCTTTTGCTCGGGAAAGACGCCTCCCGCAACGGCGGGAAACTCTCCCCAGGCAATCTCATCATGCTCAATACACACCCGGCTGGTTTTTGTTCTCGACTGTGCGCATAGTGCGAACTTAGAGTAGTCACACACACTTACACAACAAGTTGTGTCAGCAAGTGACCTCTCAACGAGGGTGTCGTCAATTTGCTCTATCCCTCTTGTGTCATGTCTGTTGGCCTTGACTCGGAAAGAACTCAGTAGCCTGGTCCCGATACGGGTTCGAACAAACTTGGTCTTCCCCCAGGTTTGTCAGAGCCCCCAACGGGAAAAAAAAAGGGAAAGAGTAGAGATCTGTAGGGCTGGTGTCGGACTTTTTTCTGCACCCCCCTTCTCTGTCAGATTCTGTCTAGTCCTTCGTATCTAAACAAACTTGGAAGCCGTTTGAAAGCACCAGAGGCGTACGCGACATGTAAACGGTCTTCAGCCGGGCTACTATCTCGCGCCCCCAATCCTGCTGCTGGTTTTCTTGAATCTTTCCCTCCTGGAGACGGGGTGATAAGACTAATGTCATGACAGATCACTGTGGCTTTGCTTTGCTTCTAGAGCTGATAATCATCTTCTTTCGGGTCAGCTTCTGGTGAGAATCTAGGGCTGTTTTCCGTTTCCTCTCCCCCCCAACTCGACTCATGGGAATCGAGCTGAGTGATTTGGCGAGCTTCTGGCGCGAGAGGGCTTTCTTTCGTTATCGAGATTTTCCCTCGATCTTGATCTCTCTCCCCCAAAGAGAGGCAGGCTTGTGTGGAATTTGCGCACGTGCAAAGTCTGGGGTAAACGAAAACAAGGGCAAGAATGGATGAAGCGACCTCAGAAGCCAATTCTCACGCCACCTCAGATAGATCGTCGTGTCCCGGGCTCCGGACTTGTTGCCCGCCGGCCGCAAGTTTTCCCCAGTTTGCTTTGATGTCTCCTCCCGGAAAGAAACGATGCCATTTTTCCCTCTGGAGGGGGGGGGGATCGCCCGCCCGTACCAATGGCAGCCCCTTCCCCCAGGCTTGCTTTAGAGCGCCAGACCAAAGGACTACCTCGGCTTTGCTTTGCCTTGGTTTCGTCTGATGTTCTTTTGTCTGTTGCCGGTTGCCTTGTTTACCGTTGCCGATCCATGGAGAACCAAATGTGGACTCAGCTCGGGACGCTTGTATTGTGCGCGCGCGCGTCTAGGTGACCTTAAAAAAATGATATGTGGTGGTGGTTTGAAAGTGGTGTGGTGTGGTGTGGTAGCTACTAGTATGCAAATGTATGTCTGTATGTATGTATGGTAATAGGCAGTGGGTAGCGCTCAGGCAAACCCTATAGAATCAGCAGTCAAATCGTATGTTTCAGCTGTGCGGTTTGAGGTCACATTGTGCTGTCACATTTTACACATTATCGACCGGCAGTTCCAAGTGGTCAGGTTTCTCATGCGGAAAGTTGGAGAATGGGTTGCCCAAAAAAGGGCTCGAGTGACCAATCGCTTGCCAGCGTCTACACACCTTTTCTTGAATTCGTATTGGAGCACTGCCTCTTGCACACACCGATCTACTTTGCTCTTGGACGTTTGTAGCTTGGACCTCTCGCAGGGTACAGCGAGTGCCGTGCATACATGATGTGGTCGTCTTCATAATTCGGTGTGTGTGCTGGGATGCACATTATTGTCCTCAACTATTGTTTCACTGACGAATATCAATAAGTGCGTACACGCGCGGCTTTTTTCCAACCAATAGATGACATGGCCGCGAAATTTTCTGTTGTCGTTATTTGAAAATCAATAACATCAAGCAACAGAGACGGGCGTCGAATGCCTTCCGATAGTGGTAAAAATATCATCATGGGCTGCCTATCAAATTGAGAAAGAAGTTAATGAAGACCAGATATCGGATGGGCCCAAGCCATGACGACTGTGCTGATGCATGCGCCGAAACACTGTCAGGAAGCGACCTTGGCTTCACCGTTCTTTATTGATCTGTGCTCATGCTCCGTAACAATAATCACCTCGCCTGTATTCATAAACAGTCACGTATGGCCGGCCTTTGCAGAATGTGGCACACGGTTTATTTGTATATGGTGAGGAGAGATGATATCACTGGTACACACCATATACGATTCGTCACATAACTCAAGGGTAAACTCAGGTTTGCCGGGCGGCTACTGCGGTCAACAAAACCTCGTGTCACGCGGGGCAGTTTCTATAAACATGTAAAATATTGAGATAATCTCATCGATCCGAGCAAAGCGATCCCCGTTCCCGGCAGATCGCGGGAGACAAGGTTGTTCCCTTCAAAAATAAAACCTCCCCTTCCCTCGGCAGTGCTTGCCGGCCTCGGGTCAAGGATCAAGCATGGAGAAAGAAAACCTCAAACTCGGATCACCGGGCAAACTCTCTCTCTCTCTCAGTGCCCTCAAAACTGTCGGAGCAAAGAGAGACACTTGTACCGCCTCATTTATTCGACGCGGCGACATGAATGATTAGCTGCAACCTGAAACTCTTTCACGAATTATGCATTGTTTGCCAGAGTATTAGGAATAAAGCTTTCTCTGCAGCAGCCTATCGGGGTGTAATTGATCACAGATGTTCCTTGAGAGCCTCAACGTCCCTCCATTCCTCAGAATTGCCAGGCAATAAACTCGAGAGCCTTTGCATAAATGTGGCTCTACATTAGGAGGCTGCGATATTAGTTTGCAAGAAATTAACGTTGTTTCTCGTTTATATTTGTTTCCAAAACATTTCTCAGGAACGCAGATATAACTGAATATATATTTGATATAACAACCTGGATTAGCTATGACCAAGAACTTGAAGGTTTCCATTTGAGTTAGATAATGTTGAAATTTTACCTTTTTTTGGTATTATATTGTCATTATTCTTCTTGGCCGACGCGAGGCTCATTGTAAGTTGGGTGACTAGCAGTGCTGCGGTCTAAAGAATTTCCTCTTCGCTTCTTGAATCCTTATAAATGCTAGTGATTTGATATATGTCGAGCATGTTGTCTTGCAATCAGCTCTGTGCAATACGACCAAGCAAGTCAACAAGTGCTCATTGCTCAGTAATCGCGGCCAATGCCTTCCACATGTCACAGCGGCTGCGCAAATCCGACGGCGTCGTCTCCATTTCGACGCTGCCCGTCTCAAACTTGAGCCTCTGACCGTCCCCGTCCCAGGCCTCCCACTCTGGAGCACTCGCATAAGCCCGCACGTTTGGGTCGTAATACAGAACAAACGAGATCCAGTAGTTTGTAACCACCGGCACAATGCTGGCGGCAACGCCGTAGTAGCTGGGAGGACCCCCGCCGATACCGTTGATACTGTCGGGGCCAAAAACGGCCCACGTCTCCCACGTGTGCGGGACCCCGACGCCGAGGGCGGCGTTCTCGGGTGCCAGCACATCGTAGCGGTATGCCCATGGCCGCGGCGAGACGGAAGAGGAAGAGGTCGAGTTGAGCTTGGACTGAAAGGCGTCGAGCACGTGGACCGTCGGACAGATAAAGGTTGCCTCGCCGTACGCCCTGGATGCCGAGGGAAACCAGGCTGCGTGGTAGGGTAAGCTGTCTTCCAGGGGATAGCTCTGCGTGATGTTGGCAGCAGTCGAGCTGCTTAGATGTGGGTAATTGTTCTGTAAAAAGATGGTAACCTCATCCGAAGTCGAGGCATTGACGCCAAAATAGGAGCCCTCTAAACCATTACCGTGAGTCTGTCTCCTTCGCAAGGTCCGATATACGTAGGACTCGGGAAAAACTCACCGTCATTATCTGTGCCCATTAGAATTGGAACATTTATAAAATTGCCCTGATCAAACATTGTATATAGATAGTCCCGACTAAAGTTTCCGTCAATACACGGCCCCCAGTAGAAGAGCGGCAGTGGCATGTAACTTCTTCCAGGAAACGGAGACGGCACGTTGAAGGCCTGTAGTGTGTGCAAGTCTTTGCCCCGAAGACAAGACATGGGACTTTCATTATTGTCACATCCCGTCTGCGAGAGTAGCTTGTCCATTTGCCATTCTAGCTCCGAGACGCGAGGCTGGGTAGGGAGAAATAGAGATTCTGCAATAGCTGCATGAAACATGGTCTGGCTCTCGCCGCCGTACGCTGTTAGATGGTGGGCAACTGATCCGGCGCCGGCCGAGACGCCCTGGATCACGACATGATCTGGATCACCTCCAAACTAGAAGAGATAGATAAGCCGGTGCCCTCAAGATATTAAACAAACGAAACGGGTTCTGCAAGCACACCTCGGAAATATGCTGCTGAATCCACTGCATCATCATACGCTGGTCGAGCAAGCCAACATTGAGGTCGCCGTCGGCTCTGACCCTTTCACCGGCGAGAAACCCATAGAGCCCGACCCGATAATTGAAGTTTACAAAGACCATGTTGCGACCAGAAGCCTCAACCAAGTAGGTGCCATTCCAATTGGCGTTGCTATTGGTCGTATACCCTTCAAAAGTGCATGCTCAGCTCTGTATAAGAGAAAGGAGAGAAAAGGGAGAGAACATATCTTACCTCCACCTTGGATGAAGAGCAACACGGGTAACTTGGAATCGGCCGTGGCATTGGCAGGTGCCCACACATTGGCAAAGAGACAATCCTCACCCTGTGTGCTGCTGGGCAGAATAGTAGAGATACCGAGGCAGACCTTGCCAAACTTGGTCATTTGTCTACCGTGTCAGTCACTTTCTACAGTCTTGACATACCTCGGGCTTCAAAACTGTTTGTTGGGAACTTGTCTCCCTGATGCCCGTTACAAAGTAGGTTTCAACAACTTACATGTCTAGCTTCCTGATCACCCCTGATCTGCTCGGGTTCGATGGGAGCCCTCCATCGCAGGTCGCCCGTGGGCTTCTGGGCGTAGCGCATGCCTAGATACTGCGCGATCCCGCTTCCGAGGAGGTGACCTTGATACTGCGCATAGCCAAGATTCACCCTTGCTGTACTCTGATCCGAGGGCGTCTAAGTCGGGATAATCCATTAATGTCAGCTTTGTCATCTTGATATCATGTTCAAGGCAGATTCAAGAGAGAGAGTGTGTGCGCGTGTAAGCAAACATTGACGGACGCCGAGAGGCCAAGATTCATCGAGTGGAAGCATAGTCTGGGAGTAATAGGAACCAACATTGACCTGGGACTGAATCAGAGCATCATTTCTTTGATGGTCTCGCACGTGCACGAGCACGACGGACAGAATAGTGACGAGTACGCAGGCGCCGAGTAGGCTGTAGATATGCCACGGCCGCAGCCGGCGGTGGACCCGGGCCAGGGCGGCCGAGAGCTCCCTGTTGATGATATTCGTCTTGCCGCCGGCACCGGCCGCCGGTATGAGATTCGCATCCGTAGCCATGTACGCATGTGCCCAGTCTCCATGTCCGAACGCACACGCGCGCGTGAAGGAGGTGAATAGTATACTTTCGCTCCTTACTGACCGGAAGACCGGCGAAGGCTTGAAGTACCACCAACCAGCCCGCTGGAGGTTTCACGGCAGAGCAAAAAATTAGCCTCCGGATGGCGGGCGTCGGCCACTTATTTTCAGTAAGCTTGTTTCATATGTCGCGTTGCCGATTCAAGACCGAGACAGGCAGAGATTGGCTTTTCTCTAGGAGTATCGTGGATGCGCAGGATTGCGGACTCTTATCCCGCCGTTTTGCAGTTTATATGGGCTCGTAAACACGTCTCACTTTGATCACGCCAAGTAAATGTATGGAGTACGTCAGACAGCGATGGTGCAGATTCAGGCTGGACAATTGCTAGTGTATGCTGGCATGCCAATGGACCGCGGTTGTGCCTGGATTTGACGTGGGATGTGAAGATCTGCTCCCATGGTCCGCAACGCTGTGGGTAAAGACTTCAGATGAAACATGACGATCATTACAACATGGCCCCACGATCCGGTCAGTCTACTGTATACCTATATGGAGGCAAAACCTTCGGGAATATTACTACTTCGAGTGTACATTAAACCACTTCCTCTTGTATACACGCACCAAGAAGGATTCCAAGTCACAACATGACGATGCAGATGAAGTAAAGAACAATTATTTTGGAAAATGTATTATCGACCAACGCCAACGCCATTCCTGAGTCGAGGGATTCTTTATCAAAGATGCATCCAAGTCCACCAGACTTCGGCCACTTGCCGGCTCCGTTTCTTTGCCAGCCTCGACGCACCTGCAGACAAACGCCGTATGCTCATGATCTACCAATACACAAAGATCCATGACAATTTCAAAATAGTGATGCTGGCCTAAAAGACTCCTGATCCGTTCCACGCAAAGCACCAACATTGAACCGTCAAACGCCTTGAAAAGATTTCGTCTCTCGCAGAATCCATTATTTTTGAGCGCGATAGGGCTTAGGATGATGCTGATGAACTCATCCATTAGACTCCAGTCCTCGTCAAACCCCAGAAACGCCATATTTCATGCATGCATGCAGACATGAACTAGTCGTAACAGTCGTCATCGTAAACTTCTTGATACTCGTCGCTCTTCCGCAATCCGATCCTCGAAACGGGACTGACCCAGTGGAGGGCCAGCAATAACGAAAATAAGATATTACTTGCTGATCGCCGACGGCAGATGCCTGGACTCCTAGATCGCAGACACCTTGCGCGCCGTGCTGCTTGGAGTCGCATTTACGCTGCCAACACGACCGCTGGTCTTGCGCACGCCATTTTGGCTGTTCTTGGGGGAGTGGTTCGAGTCAGTCGAGCGCTTCGAATCGGTCGAACGCTTGCCTCGCACTTTGGTCAAAACGCCCGAGGCACTAGCTGAGCGTGTTGGAGATTGTGTGGCACTCTCAACGTTCTTGGGCCGGCCAGCACCAATGTTTTCGGCATCGTTCGATGCATCATTGTCAATCACCTCGTACACAGTCGTAGTCGTTGTTGTGTGGCTAATGGACCTCGACTTGTCACTTCTGCCCGGTGACTGGGATGCCTTGCGGTGGGTACGGGTCCGTAGGTGGATCTCTTCTTCCGACTCGGAGCCTTGGGAACTCCTGTGAATAGAGATGACTTCTGTTGCCCGGTCGACGTTCTCTTCCTCCTCAACAGTACCGTTGATGGGATTCCTTTCATAAGGGTGGTGTCGACTTGGCCGGCTTGTCTTTCGTGGCTGTCCAGGTGTTGGGGCCGGCAGATAGTCCTCCTGGACACCAATGTTGTTTCGCTCTTGGTCGACCTCACCCAGAGGTGTGCGGTTCGAACCAGATCTGTGCGGCGTAGAGGCAGTTCGGCCCAAAGAGGTTTTTTGCATTGCCCGAATTGGCGTACTAGGCGCAGGGTTGGCTGCCATTTCCTTTCGAAGCTTGCGCTCAATCCTTTCCTCAATCCACCATTCGCGGAAAGTGCCTTGGTTGAGATGCAGCCAGTGCTGCTGAGGTCCAACAACCATTCCAGGGCGCATAAAACGCATGAAGCTGATGACCTCATCAGCCGTGAAACCGTGCCGGTAGATCAAGTAGGCGCCGATTAAGCAGCCTGTCCGGCCCAGACCAGCCTTGCAATGCACTGCAATGCCCTTCTTCTTAACAGTGATGGTCTCGTGTGCAAGCCTGATGAACTTGCGAACGGTGCTCAAGGGAGGACAGGTGCCGTCCTCGAAAATCATGTCAAGGTGCTGGATTCCAAGAGCTTCAAAGTACGAGGGTGAGTAGAGAGGCGAGTTGAGACGGACAACCAGGCCAATGTTGCGTTCTGTGAAGTGAGTCAAGACATTCTTGAATGGTTGAGGCAAGCCAGGGTGCACATCCACAGAGTCAAGATCTTTGGGAAGTGCAGCCCATGCGTCGCTGTTCGGATCGACTTTGGCAACGGGGCTGTACTGCGGTGATGCGAACGCCAGGAAGTGAGGAGTCACCCAATTGAAGTCGCCATGTTCCACTCTCTCATACTTCTCGTACTCATCCAGATCGAAGTTATCCAGAGCGCAGCATCCCTCCTCTTTGGCCTTCCAAACACCGTAGACAACGTCCTGGACGGTGATGCCGTAATCTGCTTGACTGTAACCAGCATCGCGGAAAGGCATCAATGGTGGGTCGATCTGGGCAATCGGGGCCAGAGCCAAATGGGGCGGCCATGATTGGATCAGGACCATGTAGCAAGCCAGGAGACAAGCAGCGTTGGCTCGAGCTATAGTGTGTGTTAGCAGGTAGTCAAGACAGCCGGCGGTGCATGATGGGAATTGAATGGCACATACACCTAGGGTCTGCGCGACTCCAGAATACAATTGGTCGGTTTTGGTTCTCCTTTGCACCCAGGACATCGTGAAATTGCAGTGCAAAGCGGTACAAGTGGCCAATGTGGAAAGGGCCAAAGTCATGGTGGAATGCATTGTAAAAGAGTTGATCGTCGACGGTAAAGTAGCAAGGCGCTTGACGGCTGTCTCTTGATGTCGCCGAAGCATCTACCGATCTCACGGTTCTCTTGTTCGGCGATCTCAATGGCACTTCCGGATACGGAAAATAGGTATCGGCTGTCGGTGTATGCGTATACGATGCGAGATATAGACGATCTAGAATTTGTGTAAGTATTACAGGTTGGACCAAGTGCATCAATGCTGCGGATAGGAGCAGAACGGTGGAGTTCTCTGTCGCGCCTGGGGAGTTTTCCTTGGAGGTTTCCATGTTACATCGGCCACCAGAGCCAGACATAAGAATAACGCCAAAGGATAGAATGAAGCAGGGCCTCGTTGACCAAGTATATGACTGATTGGGCTTTTGTGATATGGGCAGTGTGTAGACATACCAGGAATATACTCGACGATAGGGCCCATGTTGGGCTGTTTGAGAGAAGGTGCCATTGCGGATCTGGTGTGAGCGCTGCTCAGCTCAGAAATGGAGGAGGTGATAAGTAAAGGCAAATAGCCTTGATACTGGCGAGGGAAAGTATAGTGTCGTTGCTTCTCGGCGCCTCTTGCTGTAGATGCGAAGTTTATTATTGTTTTGCCAAAACGGTTGTGACGACAGACACTAGAGAGATGCGCCGATGGGGATAAAAGGGAAGTCGGGACCAGAGTACCCCGATTTTTGTGGGTTCGGCCAAAACAACAAAGCGGTAGTCGGGTTCTGTCAACAATGACCTAATGCACTCGGACGGACGGCGACGATGAGGAGAGGTAAAAGCGACCGCAGTCGAGATATCCGAACGCACAGGGCAGGGTAGACTTGAAGCAGAGAGTTGCGAAAGGAGAAGATATCGTGTGAGCAATTGCCTTAGGGAGTCAGCAGCAGGATTTATTAAAATTCGAGACCTGCTGCTGTTATTTTGCTCTGACCCCAGTTCACTAGAGCCCCTAGTCTGACGTTGGTAAATGCAGTTGGCATGGCAACGAATGGCCCCAGCGCCCGGAATCCAGCACAGTAAGGCCAACTCACGGCACCATCCGAGCCATCGAGTGTGAGTGAGTGACCTTTTCACACCAATACGCAGCGGCCAGACAACCAAGTCAATGGGCCCAGCCAGCAAGCAGAAATGTGTACAATACCCCGCACCCCTGTACTTCAATACATTCTTCCATGTTTTCGTTCTGGCTGAGTGGAAGGAGTCAAGCCCGCCCTCTAGAAGCGAGACATGTCGACGTCAGTCAAAGTCATGCTGTCTTCTTATCTGTCTAGGTACCTCTTCTGGCCATCAGAAGACCCCCAAAGCCACCCCGCGGCCGATCCTGTTTAATCTACAAATTCCTGCTTGCTTGGGTACCAGGCAGCGTACCAACACTGCATTATCTTTGCATTAGGTACATACTACAGAAACGGCTCCCGCTCCGTTCCGCCTTGCCCGTCCCACGAAAGCAACGTCGAGCTCAACCCAAAACCCCACCATCACAAAATAACACTGCAAACCCGACTTTTCGCCTTTTGTCGTCGCGACTGGCAACCGGGATAACTTGGTCGCATATAGGGCCAACGAAAACCAGATCATAACAGCCATGGCTACCACCGGAAGCCCTCTAGATTTCCCTTGCACCCTGTGCGTCCTCCTTCAAATCATCTGCTGCACTCTGTCGCTCTGTCGCAGATTGCCCTCTGGAACCCAAACTGACGGCCTCCTTTATAGAACACTAGATGTCCCCTTTCCAACTGCGCGCCTCGCCTCTGTGGCTCTCAGATCTCTCCAAGTAGACAAGGAACTCTCGCCCTTGGTGCGACGGGATTTGCGCATTGCTACCCCGGATACTCTGCCCGACACCGAACGCATCAAGGACAGCGTACTCAAAGTAACATACAAAGCTACAACAAATCGCATGCTTCGAGTTGCTGTGAATGGCTTCATGGAAAGCTTGACCCTCGTTCTGGAGGTCATGGAGACATTAGATACAGATGTACTCTCATCCAGCAATACAAATACCCTATGATCAGTTGAGAACATCATCTGCCCTGGATTGGCATATAGTCCTGCTCGTCTAGTCATCAAGTCCTTGGACCATAGACGCTGCGCGCATCGTTGGAGAATGGCTAGCGGCTAGTGTTGAAAGAACGGTCGTGCTAGCTATGATGTTACATATTTCGTTCTAGACCTGTAACGGCACCATTCAATTTGTGCCCAAACTGGTGAGTGTGATATTAAGACATGAGATGTTATAGTTATTCACTTGAGATCCAGCCGAATCTGTTCTTGCACTAATCGACAATATCACGACACATTGTTATATGAAGACTCAATATTATTTATGCCGGAATGGCATGGTTGTTTTTGTTTTATTCTTTTTTTCTATCTTTTTTTGTCCCAACTAGTTTGCGATGTCAGATCGTAAATTACCTTCCAAGCCGGCGGAAGCTCAAACTTCTTTCAAAACATAAAGCCACAATACATTAAACAAGACGCCAAAGACACCAAGCTCGTTCAAATCCTCCCAAAATCCCTACTGAATATCAACCTTGTGGATCTCGGTCCACTCCTTCTCGACCTTGGGAACGGTAACAATGAGAATTCCGTTCTCCATCTTGGCAGTGATGCCATATCCGTCGACTTCATCCTTCTCGTCGACGTTGGAAGGGGGCAATTTGATGCTGCGCTCAAACATGCCGACCTTGCGCTCCCCGGAGCTTAGCGACTGGAGGAACTCCTCGTTTCCTGGCCGGTAGACAACTCCAGCAATGTTGAGCTGGCTCTTGTCCGCATCCCAGTTGACCCCAACATCTTCCTTCACCGCGCCGGGTAGCGCAACGTGCAAGACGTATGCCTTCTCCGTGTTGAATGTGTCGACAGGAGGGACGAAGCTGTCGTCCTGCTGCTCTCCGGACTGCTCGCCGGCTGCCCGGGGGGCATCTTGCGGTTCGAAATATCCTCTGAGAGCCTGAGCGGCTGGGTGGCCAGCAAGAGCTCCCATCAGGGAGCGAAAGTCGAATGGCCCGCCGAAAGGTGGCGGGGGCGGGCCGTGGGGAGGACCGTGTCTGCCACGAGGACCTCCACGTCCGCGACAGCTGCCACGACGGAATGCGCCCGGGCCTCCAGGTCCACGAGATCCGTGTCGGTGACGGCCGTGGTGATGACGTGGCCCCTCATGGGGTGGAGGTGGAGGGTGAGGAGAGCCAGCGGCATGATGTGGTGGGTGAGGGCCGCCCGGTGGTGGCGGTGGAGGTGGCACATCGTCTCTCATGGTCTCAGGTGATTCGTCCATGTCAAAGTCGTGCCCCTCTGATTCTTCGCCCTCCCTTTCAGAGTCTGAATCGCCTCGGCGGTGGTGATGGCGACCATGTCTTCCGTGTCGGCCTCCGCGATGTCCCCAGGGAAAGTCACCCGGGGGAGGAGGTGGCGGTCCCCATGGGCCTCCCCAGTGTCCGCCATGCCAAGGGTTGAAAGACCCAGGACCGCCAAAGGGAAATCCAGCACCGAAAGGTGGCTGACCTGCTGGTGCGTGGTCGACGCCAGCACCTGCACGCTGCGGGTTGGCGTCAAAAGAGCGAACAAAGTCCCAAAAGGGGCCTTGCCCGACATTGTTGTTTGTGTTGTTGTTTGCCATTGTTGAATGTAAATGGATGTGATTGAATAGTTGATGATGAAGGATGGAGATCAAAAACAAAACACATGAGCAGGATGTCAAACTTCTTATAGTCGATCAAGGGCCGTGGTGGCTAATTCAGGCAACCCACCATGCGTAGACTTTGCATACTAATGCCGGGCCATGTACGCAATTCCGATCAGCAGTTTGTACGGCAGAAGGTAATAGTCATCCATGTCTACGCAATGGGCCTCGAACGGATCCGAATGCCCTGGAACAAGGCTGCCGACATTTACACGTATGAAAGAAGTTGAACTGGGTTGCTTGCCACGCGGCCTCCATGGTCACTTTGGGACTAACGACTCTTCTAATTGGCTAGTCGAGTTTCTAACTTGCTGACGAAGCAGACGGTGGTGTGGCTTGACTGCCTGGTGCCAGCGAAGGTGGCGAAGGGCACTCCGAGCTTCTTTTCTTTTGGTGGCTATCCGGCGCTGAAAGCCGAGCCCCTCGGAGTGCACTCGGTTCCGAGTTGAATGCGAATGTACTAGAGACCGAGAAGACAGAAAAAAATGAGTCACTTGGTCTCAGTCTAGGCAGATCAAACTTGCGAATAGATCAGATTCAAATCAAATCAGAGTTGCGAAAATGCTGTTGCCTGCACAGGAGGGAATGCCGCGTAGCCAGTTTGCCTCCTGGGGGAAAAGTGGCTTGCTTCAACATTCATCATACTCGATTAGATTGCGGGGCAATTTGCCCATTTGCCAGCGAGTTAGTTGAGTGGCACGGTGGGTGGTGGGTGGTGGCCCCACGGATATGAATGTTGCTTGGTTGCTTCTTGGGAGGCCTGCCAAGCCTGCAGCCAATGGCCTGACAATCTGATGAATCTTGGGCTGCAAGATCGCCGCACCTGCAAAGCATCAAGGACTCGTGCTGGATGTCTGGCCTACATTACACTCATACATTGACCGTTATTGAGCTTGCACGGTATCACCACGAAAGGCTATTTATTGAAATACTGCTACTGACTTGAACACTTGATGGCGAACATGTGAGTATATGATTACAGGACAAACTTGTGTCTTGTTGCTCGCGCACAAACAGTAACATATTTGCTCATATTGTGGGCAGCTGTGCCAACCAAGTTCGCGATCTCATCCAACTTGTGGCTTTACGTATACAATTCATGGACCAACATTGATATTGCCCACTATGGTAATACATGCGAGTTGTATCAATACAAGCATGTAATTCTTGACCAATGATCCTTTTTGCCCATTCATTCATTTTGTTGGCCTGACTATTTGCCATCGTGTCTATTTTCTTGTCGTTATTGTTACTGCTTTCCCCCTCCTTCTTTTGCATGGCTGGCGGATTGCGCATATATCGAAATGTTGAGTCTAATAGCTTGGAAAGACGACATGCAAGCCTTCAGTATGTCATGCCGCAACCCGGTATATTGAAGCACCCGCTTCCATCTCTTTTGAAAAGCCGACCGGGGCCTTGAAGAGGATTGTGTCAGCAGTATCGCATCACGTGCTGAACAAGGTTTCGACCGAAATTCCCACGATTACGGTACAGGCCCTGACAGGCGCCAGGCGTACATACTTTATTACGATGGTATGTGACAGCGTGCTTAAAACTAGTATAGCCGTCCAGCAATGCGACTTAAAAACGGGGACTTGTTTAAGCACTGCGTAGTGGCGCTTCGAGGTCCAAGCAGCAATGTGCCAATTATGCATCAAATCCTGGCAACATGTGATCCCTGAACAGAGCTCATGAAGAAACTACATATACACCATGGCTCATATGTATTGTCTGCACATATGAGCCGGCTTCCGTCTCGATCAATCTCTTTACGCGTGGAAATGGGCGCTTGCAGACAATGATTTGTTCCTTGCGTTTGCCCATAGGCTCTAAGCGCCCAAGATTGTGGGCCAATCACCGTCAGGAACCACTATGTCGCCAAGCAATGTGACCAATCAGAACAGGCAATGTCGACTCCCAGGCCGAGCCAATAGCGGGACTGGCTTTGCGCTAGAGGGCGACTGGAACTGGACCCTGTTCAATTGCTCCCGCCGACAGGGAACTGAGCTGCGTGGTAGCGGGAAGGAAGTGGGTTGGGCGGCCACCAATACTGGCCGCATAGTAGTCGAGTCTGTCTGTCTTCGATAACCTTCAATCTTTTACCCTTTTCTCGGGTCTTGTTTCATCACCAGCTTCGTGTCGCAATATTCATTCTCTTTGCTTGAGTCTGCTCTAGTTGCTGGGCTGCCTTGCGCCTCGTGTGTCCCTCTCTCACTTGGACGTTTCGCCTGTGCTACGTTGCTCAAACCCCGCGCGCGCAGTGACAGCTTACAGCTCATCGCTGGCTATCAAAACTCCCCCCACCTTCTGGAACAGCCCGACCACGATTGCGACCGCTTCCAGCTTCCACATCTATTTTTTTTTTTTGCGACCGCCTCCTAAAAATAACTCCTTCTTGCAGGTCATACTGCCGAGCACATTCGAAACAATATATACAAGTTGCACTGCATAGCTGCAGTCGCAGACCCTGCGCAGGATGAGTGGCCATGGCAGGCATGACGAGATGTTCCTCAAGCAGCCCGCCGAGGACTGCGACAGCCCAACTATCGAGCCACTGAGGATCTATAAACCACAGAGCCCAGTTCCTGCCGCCGACCGCTATAGATACCCTACGCCTTCGGCTTCAAAGCCAACCTTTCCATTACCGCCAGGCGCGTCGAGCTCCGCTGCGCCTCTCCCGTATCCAGAAGACGAGGATTTGCGCCCAAGCAAGCCAGTCGTCTCGACTCGACCTTCATACGGCGATGATGGTCGCCGACCCTCGGGAAACAGGGTTTACTCAAGCCCGACTCATTCGGCAGGCTCTGGCAGTTTCAACGACACGACGCCGAGGCTAGACACAAGCCCCATTGACAAGAAAGGTCCTGGCCTGGCTGAGAGGCGCGGTACTGCGCCCAGGCCTTTGCCAGGAGCACTGAGTCCTCCCACAAGTCCCTTGGCCGACGACGGGGAGCTGTTCGCCAAACCTCTAGGAGCTCAGCACAAACCTGCTGCGGCTTCGTCAGTCAACTTTCCCGATTACCACAATAAGCCGTACTATCCTCCGCCGAGGGTTAACTCGGCCAGCCCAAGCACAAGCGCGAGCCAGTATGCTAGACCGCAAGTGGCAGATAGCGACTTGTTGCAGATGCCGAGTAGTGGTGTAAGCAGATTTGCTTCGACGGCCTCGGTGTCTACTACAAAGGCAAGCCGGGGGTCCCCGCCTCCGCCAGAGACTCCGATCATAGAGCCAGGTCAGATCCCGGGCGGGGATATTGAAGCAAGATTTGCGGCCTCGGGCATATCAGGAACTGCAACATTGAACAGCCTGCAGAGCTCTGCTGCCGCGCAGAGATTGGCCCAATACAACCAACAACGCCCTCCTGCTCAGTCTGGGCCTGCTCGCCCGTGGACACCGACCGAGACTCCAGAGCAACAGCCCCATGGCCCGCCAACTGTGTATCAGGGTGTAACACCTGTCAGTGAGCCTCAACAATCCAACAGCAACAACCAGACTCGTCCATCTACTTCTTCGAGCTCTGGCGCGTTACAGGAAAGCGTGCTCGAACAAGACTTTCGGCGGATGCAAATGTCTGATCCGCCGCCTGCATATTCTAGCATAAGCTCTGGTGGAAACTCGGGCTACCCAGCCGAGAAACAAAGACCCACAGCTGCTCAAGCGAGTTCGACCAGTTCAACCCCAGCGCAGGCATCGCAGTCAGTGTCCTCGCCACCCAAGAAGCAGGCGGATCCGGTGGCAGCTGGTCTAGCATCCCCAGCTCTGCAGCATCCAGGACACCCTGCCTTTGCCAATGATCCGAGACCAGAGCCCGCCGCTAGTGCTTCTTCATCGTCCAAGCCTGAGCAGACGACGCCGTCGCCTTTCTCTGGTCAAGTTCCCAGTTCCCCGCCTCCACTGCCTGAGGGTTGGATTGCCCATCTCGACCAGAACTCGGGACAGTATTACTATATCCACTTGGCTACTCAAGCTACACAATGGGAGTTTCCCAAGGGACCAAATCCCATTCACCATGATGTGGCACCTCTGTCTCCTACGGCCTCTACATATGGAAACCCTTTGGCTTCTCCAATGTTTGGCGGAAAGCAGACTGGAATGGCCTCGCCAATGTTCCCTCCACAGACTCCTGGTTATGCAGAAAGCATCATGAGCGTGGCTGCTTCGGCCGCTCCCACAGCTGGTTTCACTGGCCCTCCACCCAGTGCCGGTGTGGACATGTACAAGGTCCAGCCTACGAATGGGGTATACTTTGGGCCATACCTGAGATATGTCAATATGGATATTGAAAAGGGTTTATGGCTTGGAAGCATCATGATAGTCACGGATTCACCTCAGCCACCAACGATCCATATCCACAAGAGTGTTGACCTCTCCCCGAATCCGAGACAACTGGTTTCTCGCTCGATATACACGCATCAGAGATGGCAGTTCCACAAGTATGATATCGACCTTGAAATGGGTGATGGTGGAACGGACAGGTGGACGTATGCAGTGACGTCGCACATGGGCTGCACAAGATACGAATTTGTGGTAGCTGGAAAGCAGGAAATCAACTGGCGCTTCATTGGACACTCTGGCAATGACTTTGCCGCAAGCACCTCCCAGAATGAACGAAGCAAACTGGGTGGTGTAGGTTTCATGTGGAAGGATGTGCTTCAAAAGAACGTCGACTGTGGAGGTTATCATGCTCAGCTCGGCCTAGGTAACCAAATCTACGGCGATAGGTTATGGAAAGAGGTTCCGGTTCTGAAGCAGTGGTTAGCTATGCAGGGCAAGGAGAATCGCAAAACTGCTCCATGGACGGCGAGACACGAGGAGGATGTGTCACATGCTTACTTTCACTTCTACACGAGTCATTTTGACCAGCCCTTCTTGCGAGAGGCATGGGCTCAAATCCCCCATATCTGCCAGATTGACGATCATGATATGTAAGTCAACGATGCGCTTCCTGGAGAAATGACACAGACTGACGAATCGCAGTTTTGATGGCTATGGCTCTTACCCTGATTATATGCAGAACTCAAACATGTTCAAGAACATTGGAAGGATTGCTATAGACATGTACCTTCTCTTTCAACATCACACTACACTGGAAGTGCTGAGAAATGTCAACCATGACCTCGATCTTTTCACCATCACAGGTCAGGGCTGGCACTTTGTCAAGTTTTTGGGACCAGCCGTTGTCCTGGTGGGAGCCGATTTGCGATCAGAGCGCACCCATAACCGGGTGCTGGCTGGCCCAACGTATCAAGGCCTGTTCCCAAAGGTTGCCCTCCTGCCTCCAAGTGTGCAACACTGTATTTGGATGTTGTCAGTACCAGTCGTGTATCCCCGACTAGATACGGTGGAAAGTCTGGCAAACACATTTGCAACCGGCAAAAAGGCCGTCAACACTACGTATAATGTGCTGGGCAAGGTGACGAGTTCCGTTGCTGGTATTGTCGGAGGTAAAGAAGTTGTCGCCCAGGGTTTCAACCAGGTCAAAAAGGCTGTTGGAAAGTCTGGTCTCATGGGCAATGTCGTTAACCAGTTTGGTGACCTTGATATTGGAGAGATCCTCAGGGATATGTGGACACATGACTCCAAGGATCTTGAGCGAACATATCTGATCCGCACTCTCCAAGGCATCGCTCACCAAAAGGGCATTCGTATGACTTTCCTTTCTGGAGGTATGTATTGTCACTATTGCTTTATCTTCTTGCTCAGTATACTGACAAATCATTAGATGTGAATTGCGGTGGCGCTGGTCTCGTTCATGACCCTACTCATCCTAGTGATCATAAAACCATGTACCAGATCATCACATCGCCCATTGTGGCAGCTCCCGCATCTGGATACATCCTCAAGATGCTTCACAGCAACAAATCGTACTACGTGCCAGCCAACGGCCAGAAGTCGAACCATGAGGTCTCGGATACGAAAGAAGACATGATGGAGATCTTTCACACGGACGCTTCTGGCTCACCTCGTGAGCTCAAGAAGCTCATGGGCCGTAGGAACTTTGTTTCATTCATGGCGTATGATCCAGAGGCTATTCCGGGCACGCAATACAGCGCAAATGTTGCCAATGGCCATTCTCAAGGGTTGAGCAAGTTGAGTCTGGCAGTCGACTACGTGGTACAGGGAGATGGTGCTTTCACGACACCCACCAAATATGGGCCAGTGATCATACCACATTTGGAGTTTGGACGATGATGGAAATGATTATCATGTTTTAACCTCTGCAGGTTTCGTGAAGACATTGGCGAATATGCAAGACAGTTTGAAATGTCTAGAGTGGTATTTTGAATAATTCTCAATTGTTGAGCGATGCTAGCTGGCGATGTTCATGTTCATAATAAAGATGAAATTTTCAAATTTGAATACATATATATACATTACACCACATTTTCTTGATAATCATTTGAACAATTTCCTTTTGATATGGGGCCAGGAGCATTGTTGTTTGACGCATGGAATGTCAAAGGAGCTTGATTGATTCTGCGTGGGATTATGAGAAGATCAAAGATGCCCGCAATGTGTTGTAAAGAGTAAAGTCATCCGGAACGACGACCTATAGTTGAGCTACAACACACAAACAAGATCCGAAATCGAAGCAAAGTAGCCCATCCACAGAATCCTCTTCTATCGGCCATCGGCCGTGTTGAATGAAACTTGTCTAAATCTACATCACCCGAAAAGTACCAAACACGCAAGAGTCAGTCTTGGAATCTCTGTTTTTATGGATCATGATTTCGGATAGTTCAAGGGGTGAAAGACAAGAGAAAAGAAAGAAGGAAATGAAAAACAATGGAGGGAATATTCTCTTACCTGACTACCACGCCCACATTCTTCCTCTTCCTCAGCGACCAGTTCACCAGTCTGGCGATTCCTCCCGGGCTCGTCATTTCCACCCCGGCTGCCCCCGAGGTCGTCGTCCTGCTGCTGCTGTCTCTTTTTCTGGCCAGTAAACTCATCGTCATCATCAACTTGGTCTCCCCGCTGCTGCAAATGACGGCGGGCCTCGCCGGTACCGCTCTTGACGGCATGACCACTACCGCCGCCGCCAGTATTTTTCCCGACGACGTGGTGACCTAGAATCTTGTCATTATTCTTGCCGAGGGCCGCCCCGCCGGCGACCTCGGGGTCCTTGACCACAAAGTTTCCCTGGGATCGGTTCTGTGCGTCGGACATGACTAGGTTTGGGGGTGCAAGAGGAAGGATCTAGTCTGGCGTTTAATTGTGTGTAAGAAACAATCTTTGGCTAGTTTGGAGACAAGATTGGGTTCTTTATTGTCTGCCTTGTTTACTGCCTTGATGAAATGGATAGAGACGAAGGATTCTTCTTATTTATAGCTGGGCTATCTATGACTAGAATGCTTCGCAACGACACTTTTACCTCGTGGCAATTTCAGGGTTCGAGGTGGTATTGACTTCAATATTCATCCATGACAACAAAGCCGTGATGGAGGAAGCTGTAATGCATTCTGAAACGTGGCCATCGTAACACAGATGACGACGCTATATGTTTCTTAAAGAGCTTGATACTTGAGCATCAACAAGTATGTATCGAGTGCCACGCGAATGCCGTATCGGTTACTGCCTTAATTTCCTATCATGGGTATCATGTTTCTATATATGTACTGGGTGCTACATGAAATGACAGACTCTTGACTTCACTGCCGCCTGTCGTTCATGAAATTATTGTTCTCCCTGGTCCCACCAGCTCTATTACAAGATTTGCAACGGTGCCCAATGCCCAGAGTGCTATCAATCCCCATCCAATCCTCCTCGTCATCATCCATTTGTTCATTGGTACCACTATGAGGAGTACAACAAGGGTGATGAGAAGTACTATGGCTGAGACAAGAAGCGTGTCGCCAACTTGAATATGGTAGGTCTTGTACTCGTATGGCCGGTCGGGATGCTTGGCATGTTTTTGATTTGCCGAACGCACTATTTGAAAGGCGCCGCCGAGCCCTATGCCTAGTAATATATTCAACATAGGGCCACCGAAACAAGCAGCGCTGCCGACACGTTAGTCTATGCTTTTAAATCATCATCACAAGGGTGAGACTTACAGTGCCATGACGGGATAGCCGAGCCGAGCAACAGTAATGTCAGCAACAAGGTCGCCTACAGAATTACCGACGGCAAATACTGTGAGGCCGAGTATTGCCTCGGAAATGTCAAAAATGACACCAAGTGCCTTCAAAACACCCACAACTTCGCCGGCAATGGTAGATATCCAAGCAATAGCGATGGTAAACCCGAGAAAACAAAACAAGAAGTGATACTTTGGGCGACGATCAGGGTTTGTGGTGGCCAGGAGAACACCAAGTACGACAAGGGAAAACACAAGTGCACCCAATACCATGCGTACGAGAACTTTGCCCGGTTGCTCAAAATCTTCGACCGCATTTGCCCATACGATGAATACAGCAAACATTGGGCCGGTAAATATCTGCAAGATCAAGAGCCACCGATTCCACCCTTGATCCTCACTATCATCGGCTGTTGAGTTTGGCTCTGATGCAGGTTTGTAAAGTTGTATCACAGGCTCGCCGGAATGTTGAGGCGTGCTACCCGTGTTCCTCGAATCATGAGACTCGTCAGGGGCAACCAACGAGATGGCGGCTGGTGACGCGGTCCCTGACGAAGCGCGTGATCTTGTGTGCCGTCTATATTGCTGCCATTCTGTCTCGGAGCCCATCAGGCCATGTGGCTCGAAAGAAACCGGTGGAGCAACATTGAGCGCCGCACCAGTAGCTGGTTCATCCATAATGTTGTCTTCCGAATCATCATCGGTAGTTTCACTTTCTACGACTGGTAGTGTGATGACCAACAGCAAAACACTTGGCACTGACCACGCGCTTACCAGCTTGTCCCAAGCGGATTTATTTGCCCAGTCCTGCAAAGTTGGGAATAGAGTGCGTATAAGCATATAAGGGTCAGGCAAAAATCGATATGGCCACCACCTTACTGGCCTTGAGGCTTCAGTAATCTGCAGGTCGTCGAAGGGTGAATGTCGCTCCACACCAGGAGTGGGTAACGTAGGCACAGATGACTGCATGACATTTGGCGTCATCAGCATGGGTGTGTCCGTGTATTGTGGGAAGGGAGAGCCTGCCGGGGTGGAATCATGACTACCTGGAGGACTCGGGCTGGGAATCTGAAGCTGTAAGCCCCCACCCAACAAGTGCTGGCGCTGTGATGCGTTGCTTTGATGGTCCAGCGCGAGGCCACCAGTCGAGTCTGTTGGGGGCGGGGCAAGTCTTCCTCCCACGATGTGCGGCGGGACGCTTGATGTTCGTGTTTCGTTGGTGTCTGACCTGGGCGACGCCATGACCAAGTCCTCGTCCATGATGGATGGTATGGCGCCAGAAGAACGCGACCTCACCCTGTTTGTGGGCTCCGTCGCGCCGGTGCCTTGAACAGACTGAGCGCTGGCTGGGCCACCTACGGCGGCGACACCGCTTGCAGCACTGTCAACAGCAATCCTATCCGCCGAATAACTTCTCACTGAAATTGGCGCCATGCGCATATTTCGTTCCTGTGAGAGTGAGGCCAGGACTGCCCTGAACTCGAGCGCGCCAAGCAGACTGGGCCGGATCGCGGTGATCGTTGTTGTGGCGCGTCTTCCTCTCGGCCGATTTACCCTCATGCTGCTCGTGACTTCAGCGGCAATGTGCTGATTACGCTCATCGTCGGCATCCTCCGAGTCAGCTTCTCCAACCTCAATTCTTGGGCCTTGATCCAAAACATCAATGTCGACAACAGATCCCCCGTGGTGAGACCCAGGCCCAGCTTCGTCGTCATCTGGCTCGTCCCGGTAAGGTTCAAGCTCGTCGCTTGCCTGTTGGCTCCGGGAGGCCAAAAAATGACTACGCGATGCCGTCTCACGTGCTCTGCGAGCCTTGATCTTTTTCCCGTACCAATGCCAAGCAACGACGAATATGACATAGAATGCATAAAATGCAATCATGGTGCAGCATTCCCATAGTTTGATTCTCTCATCCCAGATGAAGTAAAAGGTAAAGGCGACGGCGACGATGAAGAACAGAATGTCGCGGACAAACGTGTTTCTACTGACTTTGAACTCTCTGACGAGAGCCATGGATCCAGCAACAACGGCCGTGATGAAGCCCGCAGCGCCCAGGAGCTCGCCCACAGCCATACTGCCGCTGTTGGAGCCCATGGCGGCAAACGTACTGAAGACGTCGGGAGATCCATTGCCAAAGGCTAGAAAAGTCACGCCAGCTAGACTCTGGCTCAGTCCCAAGATGGTGGCAATGGTGCTGAGGTTGACACTGAAGAAATCACTGGCCGCGATGCCAATGGTACTGAACAGCAAGCATAGCCAGGTAATGAGAACGATGAATGCAATGGGCTTTGCAGTGCCCAGGGTGCAGTAGTAGAGGGAAAGATACTGAATCAGGCCAGCCTCATCGTCGCGACAATTCCGCAGGACAAATGCGCATTTGTCCTCGGCCTGGTGGACCAAGCGGCAATCCTCGGCGGATCTCGCCGATAGCAGCGGCTCATCACCATCATGTCGCTGCCTTGAGGATACCGGTCCTCGTACGAACAAGACGTGGACAAGAATGAGAGCGAGAACAAAAGCGATGGAGTAAAAAGGCCTTGAGCTATACGCTCGTCGTCTCTTGGTCGCGGCGCCAGGCATCGTGGCAAGACGGTGTAACCTGGCTTGCCATAGACCGAGCTCCCGACCTCGTGGGCAAGTTCCGATTGACTGCTTGATGATTCTTGGGGGGAGAAGAAAAATGCTGCAATCAATCAATCTTGCATCTGGACCGATATATACACAGACAGTATGCCGTTGGGTGTTTATGCAACCAATGCAGGTCTTCTTTGCGGGGTGTGGAGGCCAGCAGAAGGCAGGGATAAGATCAACAAAAGGAATGTTTATTGCTGATATATCCAAGTTTGACCACCCATACCTGGGGAAAACCTGCGCTACTCCAAAGCACTCGATCCGCCAATGTGTGAGCTATCTTGCCTGGACAGAGAGTAGTAAATAGACGGACTTTCTGTCGGAAGGGGAGAAAGAACAGATAGGTGACAGTAACACCGATTAGCTAAGGTTGATAGAAAGAGAGATATTAAATGAAAGCTGGACGTGAGATTCGACAATTGGGTGAATAAAGAGAAGTAATAAGTACGTAGCAGCTAGGTAATAGGTTTATTGGGCATGCAAAATGGGCTAAAAGCCGAGGCCTCCTTCCCGTTCTCTCTGGAGATGGGATGCCAAGTCACAGGTGACGACGATTTTCCATTGCGCTTGCACGTCAGATACATCCCAGTAACTGTGGTAAAGCTGGCTGGCAATCAATGGCTGCTGGGTTTATTACAGGTAGATAGCTAATAACTAGCACTGCTGCCTTCTAGCGGCAATTTTCCCAAGTTTGCAGACAGAACAGGTTTTGACAGGGAACATTCAGTGGCACCTTTTTGATGGGCTCTGCCACGCATGGTCTGGCTTGGCAAACGTTTAACCTCTGCAGCAATGACAACGGCCATGTCTCACGACTTCAAAACCCAATTAAGAAATGAGCAGGATGAGATCATCTCGAACAAACCCCGACAGAACTCGTCTCAGATGGGCAGTATCATTCTGGTGCTCCTTTCAATGCGCGCATGTCCGGAACCGGTACCCAAAAAGCAATAGATACACCATCAGGTAGATAGATACACAGAGAACTAACTCTGCACATTATTCACCACTGCCTAGATAGTTACATGGTTACCCTTAGCAATAGCACCGCCAAAAGTAGTCGAATCCAAACAGACCTCACCCACCCCCCATTGTATATTAGTGGTGGTTGGAACATGCACTTGCCATGTGCTTTTCAGGGCACTTCCAGTGTAACATGAATTGAAGTCAAATAAGGTAGACAGAGGTGTGTCTTAAAATAACGTAGGTTTTTTTAGAATGGCAGTTTTGCGGTGAAAGGCCCAAAAGGAACTGGACAGTGGAAACTCACCCCGCCAATTCCGCCAGACTAAACCCTTTTTGGCCCCAAACCAAACAACTCCTTGGGCAGTTTTGTTTACTGCAGATTCGCGCCTACCAAGCAGTCACTACCGACATTCTGCTTGAACATCACCATCATCACACATTGAACCTCCAACAGACGACACACAACGCCTGCCATCATGCCTCGCGTCGCACAAAGGGCGCGCCAGAGCGTTGGCAGCAGAGTCGCTGGAGACTCTCCCATCAAGTGAGTATTTCCACTTACTTCGCTGCCGAGCCCCCGCCCGTCTTTTCGGGCGCATCTGTAACTATGAGACTCACACACGAACCCTTTCTGGCAGGATTCCCCTCAACGATGACCACTCCGAGAAAAAGGGTCGGGCCAAGGATCGACAAGCCCTCCATGAGAAGCAAATCAACGACCTGAAGGCCGCCGCAGCCACTCCGCTGCGCAAGGCCAGTTTCCGCAGAAGCGACTTTCATGATCAATCACCCAGTTCTGACCCGCGGACGCCTTCGCGACGCGGGCAGCAGACCATTGCCGATGATGATGAGGTTCTCTACGTTGGAGGGAGCAGCGTCACTCCTATGAAGCGGGTGCCTATCCTCGCCAACTTTGAGGAGTGGATGAAAATGGCTACCGACAATAAAATCAATGCTACAAACTCGTGGAATTTCGCCTTGATCGACTACTTTCACGACATGTCTCTTTTGAAAGAAGGCGATGGCGTCAACTTTCAGAGAGCCAGTTGTACACTAGATGGTTGCGTCAAGATCTACACCAGCAGAGTCGACAGTGTCGCAACCGAGACTGGTAAGCTATTGAGTGGTCTCGCCGACAGCAATAGCAAGAAGAAGGATCGCGAAGAAGGCGATGGCGATGAAAGCGAGGAGGAAGTCGACGAAGACGGAAATGTGATTAGAAGGAAGAAACAAAAGAGAGTAAGTGTAGAGTAGCCAGTTCGCATCTACTGGCTTTGGGTGCTGACTGCTGCTCCCAGCAACGATCTTCTGAGGCGACGCTTGCACCATCGTTCGCCTCTCTGCAACTAAAGAAGCTGGAACTCGAGTTTGCTGTGGACCCCCTCTTCAAGAAGGCATCGGCAGATTTTGATGAGGGAGGTGCCAAGGGTCTTCTTCTGAACCATCTCATGATCGACGGCCAAGGTCGTATTGTGTTCGACAGCAGTGACGATGCCGACGATGCTGCTGCAGGGCGGATCAAGCCGCGACGTAGGGAAGATGTTACCGAGGAGGACGAAGAGATGCTCGAGGACATAGAAGAGGATGTGACCATGACTGGTCAGGAGCCCGAGCCAGAGGAAGAAGATGTAGAGATCGATATCGGCTCACTCGGCGCTAAATTCTTCCCGGACCTTGGTATCCTTGACAGCCAAGATGTTTGCCCTTCGCTCAAGACCTTTGACTTGGGAGACCCTTCCGGATCATTGGACATTCCCTTCCTGCGCGCCCCAGAAGATTGGACGCAAAGCAAAGACGATGAGACTGAGGACGGACGTGCTGCTGGCGACAAGTCTGGAATGTTTATCGATGACGATAACCCTCTGGGCTTCGACGACATGACAGCAATGGGTGGCTTTGATGTGCCAGATGTCGCTTTTGGTGAAGGCGGAGAGGCATGGGCTCGAGAAGCAGCGCTTGATCCACAGATGCGCCCGTACAACGCCCCAACTGAGGACGGAATGGGTGCTGATAATTCAGGGTTCGACGATGAGAACGGCGACTATATGGTGCGCATGGCTCATGGTAAGGGCTCTGACAAGACGCATGAAGATATTCTCAGCTATTTTGACCAAGCCCTACAAAAGAATTGGGCTGGGCCGGAACACTGGAGAATCAGAAAGATCAAGGATGCCAACAAGACGGAGCCTACCCGCCAGCGCAAGGAAAAGGAGCCCTTCGAGATTGATTTTGCCTCGCCTCTTGATATTAAGCTCGGAGAGCAAATCTATACACAAGCAAGCAGCAACTCTGCCATTTCCATGCCCAAGAAGGATTGGAAATCAAAAACCAGGAATCTTCTTCCCGACGATAAACACTTCAATTCGAAGCAGCTCCTGAGCCTCTTCTTGAAGCCCAAGGCGCGCCTAAGCAGCCGGAGACGCCTCAACAAGAGTGGCATGTTTGGAAATACCGGCCACCAGGATAATATTCCTGAAGGTGAAATGGACGAGGCTTTCTGGGCGAACAAGGAACCAGTACAGAGTATGGAACAAGACGACACAGCCATGCCCAAGGGCGACTACGACGCCAACTTTTTCGACGATGAAATGCCCCTGCCTGGGGGTGGTCTTCTGGATGATGACGACGATATGGAGTTTGCTGATGCAAGAGATCACTTTTCTCCTGGTGCCGAGGCGCCTATTACCGAAAACGCTGGTTTCACGGCCTTGCTCAATGGAGGACTCACTATGGGTGGATTTGGCACCCAGTTGGTAACTTCTACCCGTCGTCTGCGGCCCGAATATGTACAATATGCCCGCGTGGCCAAGAAGGTCGATGTACGGCGGTTGAAAGAAGAATTATGGAAGGGTATTGGCTTTGAAAAGCTCGACGTAAGTTTTTCATGCATTTCTCAATAACCAATTGATCAGAAACGCTAATTCTCCTCTAGGATCAGCTACCTCCTACACCAGCAGAGGGATCTCCAGCCGTCGAGGATACGCCGGCAGCAGATACCACGCTCAAATTTACAGACGTCATGAACGACTTGCAATCAGTATACGCCAAGCCAGTCATGGACGACATCTCGACGAGTTTCTGCTTCATCTGCTTGTTACATTTGGCCAACGAAAAGGGCTTGGTCATTGAAAATACACCAGAGCTCATGGAGTTGGATATCAGGAAAGACTGGAATGCAGAGGTCTCTGAGGAAGGCTAAAGGGAGAAGGGGCCCTGGTTTCAGAGAGAGGGATGCTTTTGTTTGGTTTTTCATCCGTGTTGAAAGAAGTCTTACGTGCAAACTGTCGAAATAATGATTCATGATGATTCAAAATAACCGACTTTTCCGCCGCCCCAACTTCCCCGTAACGTTTGTTTCTGACTCATCGGATTCAGTGATATCTATGCGGAAGTAAAGTCCACCTGCGCATGCGTGTGTCCGCGATTGTGGGGGAAGGGATACAATTCAATCCAGTTTTGTAAATGGAGCATTCATTATTCATTGTGATGTCTTAAACGTAGTTTTGAGGCAAAAGTCGGCCCCAAATAGAGGTCAATCTATAAATCACCACCGTTTGATGGATTTTATTTGTATATGCAATGAGACCTTGGCTAGAACCAGCACATATATTACACTAAGCTGAATGATACTACTTCTTTTTGTTTTTCCTGTCTTGCGCATTATTTCTCTCTTTCAAGAACTTATGAGGCTTGATGAGTGAGCTTTGTTCTTGGTCAACGTCAAGACCTAGATCTCCTTCTATATACTACTCTCACTAATACGAGATATCCCAGCCACCCCATAAGTGCTTTGACTTTGGCGACTAAATGTAGGTCTGACACATGCAACGCTAGAGGTCAAGCATCTCTCGATTGGAGATGGATTGCCTCCTCTGTCCAGAAAAATGATCACCAAACGCCATATTCTCCGACCGAGCCGATAAATCACGACAGCCATGACCAAAATTCTGAACGCCTATACCGGGGAAAGTCCAGTAGAACCTTCTCCTTTCCGGGGGAAAAAAGCAAAAAAGAGAACATGAGGACGAGGATAAATGAGCTCGACACAATAGACGGGTATGAACAACGATTTACGTGACATAAGATCATGCCAACGGGGCATCTCAAAACGCTCAATGATAATCGTGGTGAACCAACAAGATCGCTGTCATGTGAATAATAAACAGTCCAAAAGTCCTGAAAGACGTCGTCTAGGAATGATAAGACGCGTCGACTTGTAAAATGTAGTTAACAACATCAATACCATGGGCAAAAGGACGACTAAGGTTCCGGTCGTCCCACGATGTCACTGGCGCGCAATAAAGCGCTCATGCCGTCCAAACCAGAATCTGCACCGCCAGCTATTCTCGGAAGAGTTGGGGCAGGCTGATGCGCAGAAGAGGTTATGGGTGCGACAGGATGGGCCTGGGGGACTATGCCAGGAGGATAAACACCTAGGACAGGTTGCTTTAGTCTTGTGGGCGGCAAACGACTACTGATCCTTGACATACCATTGACATATGGCAGGCGTCCGTCGACGACTGGATCGCCCGGTGGGCGACCGGGGTATTGCTGATTGAGGCCTGGAGGCTTTGAGGGAATATGGCTGTCAGGTAGACCCATTGGATTGCTAGGCATACTCGGCGGCTCCGGCTTGGATGAGAGAAGAGCATGAATAGGCAGTGAAGATTCGCTGGGTGTCCGAGGCTGAGCGAATGAGCTGAGCGACGTCACGCTTCCCGTCGATGACTGCTGTGCAAGTAAAGAGGGAGGTCGAGACCAGAACTGTGATGAGATTGATGTGCGCCCAGACCTGGTGTCGTCGGATCGCCCAGGCATGATACTCGACGCGCCGGCCTCCGGAGAATGCGACATCGGGGCAAGCGTCCCACGAATGTCACTCGGCTGCATCAGCGCGGAAAGTCCATGCCCCGCAGGCGGTAAGTCTGATTGAGCGCCGGGGCGCGTCCCAAAGTGGCTACTCGCGGTTTGTTCGGGTGCGTCCCTGCTAGCTGGACTGGAAAAGCCTCTTGGTCGGTTATTCGACCTGTCGTCATGAATCACAGACATTGGCGAGTGAGACACCTCATCGGAATGCCGCGGAAAAGCGAGAGATGAAACGACTGGAGAAACCTGGGAGTCGGACTGTGATGTGATCGAACTCAGTCTCTGTTGGCGTGTCGGTGGTGGCTCACTGCCCAAATGACTGTCGGAACTGCTGCCGGTGGTACTAGTGGCAGTACTGAGCGTAGGAGGCAACCCGTTCGGGGCGCTTCGGCGGCTGTTGCCATCTCCGTCGACTCTGGCTCTCTTGTGCGCGTCTATATTTCAATTTAGCCATTGACTTATGGTTCTGGGTGCGGTGTCTTTTCAAACGCCTTACCATGGACAGCCTGTCGCTTTCGGAATTCGTGCAAGTAGTCTGAGTAACGCTTGTAGTCGGTCGTTTTCTTGTACTCGTTCATATCCCTGTTGTACCTGTCCTTGAGCTCTTGCGCCTGCGTCTCATATGGTTCTTTCTCTGCACGATCGAGGCTCTGCCAATTCTCTCCCACGAGCTTTGCTATCTCCGTAAAGCTGAGATTCTGTCCTTTTAAATCCTCACGCATCTCTGCAACGAGGTTAGCCGAGATTATCCATTTAAGTTGTAGTGCGAACAGACGGCAAACGCGACGATGGCATGAGACTTACTATTTGAAAATAAGACATAGGCCGAGGGAGGTCGTTCGGGAGCATTTTCGTCAGGCTACGAAGAGTGAACCGGGTTAGTCTCCTCTCCCGACACCGTTCACATTCCGTGGGTGTGCGCTTGACCATCCAGGCCTACATACCTTGGGGTGCCTTCTATATTTACGTTTCGTTGCTGCCGAACCATCCTTTACCTCAGGTTGCACTGTTTTTGGGGCTTGTGTCGTCGAATCTTCAATGCTGGGGCGGGTTGGGGAGGCCAATGACGCCGCAGGAGCAAGACCGCGGTGGTTCGCGATTCGACGTTGCAATTTCTTCTCACAGTGTCAGTCGAAGCGCTGCGAGCGGGAATTTCCCTCCAAAACATGCCACGAATACGTACCCTGCGATGACCAAGCTTTACCCCGAGCGCATCTCTGAAGGTCTACTATCAGCAATTGATCACAAATGGGGACGCTGGTGTCGATGAGATGTGACATACAGGTCGGACTCGGTGATGTCTAGAATGGTCTCCCACGAGTCAAAACCTTGGTCCACGAAGGCGCCTAGGTATTGAGAGATACCCAGCTCTTCAAATATTTGATCGAGTCGATTCATATGGCCGGATTGGCCGCGCGAGCGGCGGCGGGTTGAGTCGAGGTGCTACTGGGTGCATAGACTGCTGGAGAAAGTTCAGCTTGGTTGATCGATTGTTCTTTCTCGAGCGATATAGCTAAGTAGGCAAAAGAGGTCGCTTCGGTAAGGGCGACAGGCTTGTGGGCGGAATTTTGTTGTTTCTTGTTTTCTCACAAGGAGCTCCCGGTTTCTGTCCGGTCTAATAACCAGGTTGGTCGGGATAGCACTGGCGGGTAGAGTGGATGTCGGCGTCGACAAGGCGACGTGCTATAGGCATTCGTTCTATTACGAGACGGGGTTTGAAGGGACACTATCGTGGGAAGCTTGCTTATGTGTTGTGCCGGCTGGTCTGCGTCCCAGAATAACCGAACCGAGAAGAAAAAGAAGAGCTTGCTACTGTGTGATCAGGGGTGGTGGGTGTGCCTGCGGCGATGAAATGCATGCGTTTTGCCTCGAGAGCAAGGCGCAAAAAAGGCGATTGGTTTTTTGTTATTTTCTCTTGTCTCCCCCTTGGCTGCGTCGCGTGTTTTTTTTTTTTTTTGGAGGGGCCGAATCCTTGAGAAGCAGACCCAGGTAGGTAGTAATCGTGGTACAAGAGTGAGTACTTTTTACCTGACCTCACCAGAAAGGAAGAACGGTATGTATGTATGGACGTAGTAGGCCTGGCCTGTACGCATGGAGGGGATGTATGTACGTATGGAGACTTGACTGGGCGCACCGTCAAGATGAGGTAAAGTGCCAGAAAGTCAAAGAAAGCGGTTGGCCGTGGCGTTGAGCAAACTAAATGGGAAAGTCTGTATTTTGCAGATAGTTAATGGTAATGTGGATGGGAAACTGGAAGAATTAGCATCAGTAGGCAATGGCCAGACACTTGGAGGTTAACACGATCCATCACCGATTCTGAGATCTAGGTTGACGAAACGCCAACAAAGGATCGGGATCAGAACGGGTTTTTTGGGAGGGAGAAAAAAACGGGAAACGGCGCTACGACCACGAGGTACATACAGTTACGGGGGAGGAGGCCATTTGCAAGTTGAGGGGGTCGCTACCTACCAGACCCGACCTTCTTAGCCTTCTTGTTATTGTAGCCACAGCGGGAGACGGTAGGGTAGTTAGAGGCCTAGAGGCGAGCCGGGTCGTTTTTACTCACCTAGAGCCTGCGAGTAGCTGCTAGAACGCGGTACCTACCTCACTGTAGCGGGCTGATGCTACGTCTTAGGCAATAAGTGGGATCGATTGACCGAGGTGCCGACAGCCAAGCATCAACTGGATGCATGTACCTGGGAAGACCACGTCTGGCCGGGCAGGTATGGCAACGCAGGGGGGGTGGAGGAGGAGCGCGAGTATTCCGTCAGGTAAGCTAGCGAAGACCACCTAGCAGACTTGAGCAAATCAGACCATTGATCTACCTGTGTTTGTACTTTGTCCATGCAATCGTGATAGCAGCAGTAGCGTATTTAATTCATTCATGAGGCGGACGCTTCCAGGAACAACCAGAACAAACCCCAGTTGCCCAGCTGCTGAGAAATTAAGAGGCAAAATAAATAGAGGGAATCCACAACCATGAATTCTGCCAGGCTGCCAATTGGCCATGCTTCAGTGTTCCAGGGGATAAGGAGCCGCTGTGTGGACAGTTGAATGACAAGCAGAGATACATCCATGGATTGTGGATACCGCAGTTCTGGGTTGCTGGTAAGGATCCATGTACGGTAGTGTAGGTAGGTAGCGTCGTCTAGAAGAAGAACGTCCAATGTTAAAATGCCACCCGCAGAACTGCCTGGACCGGAGAACTTCGTCATAACCAGCCCCCCAGCCTTAAATCGTTACCTTGCGCAGGTATCTCTTTGGTAGGCTCGGTACGCGATTCCCACTCTTCTCATCAATAACAGCAACACTGAGACCAAAATACCCCCATATATACATATCCGTACAGACTAGAGAGAGATCAAAGAGAAAACAGCTCACGAGGTGTTCCATGTTTTCCATGTAGACAGACGGTGCAAGTCCTGCCCATCTGTATTTCTTTGTAGTTTGTACAGATGAAATGAGTCCAAAGGTCAGGGATACCCCTCAGGCCCCATGTCGATGAAGGCTTGCTCCCGGTAATGTAATGTGTGCACCTTCATACATGTTTTTAGGGTACTTCTTCGTACATCCACCTACCTACTATTGTCTAATAACCTACATAGTTATCTCAAGGGCATGTTTGCCTGTCATGCTCTGGCTCATCTGGGTGTAGTGGCAATGTGGAATACCCAGGCAATCCAGGATCATTATCATTTGTGCTGTGGAGGTAGGTCGATCGATCTGGCAACGCACAACGGTTGTTGCACAAACCAAGCAGCCAAGAACGCCGTAGTCCACATCAAAATAGTTCGTAGACTTGCATGCATGCGCGAGCAAAACCCTGACATCCTGGCTGCGAAGAAGAAGAAAAAGAAGTACAACGAGCTAATAAATCCATTGTTGTTTCGCCAACAAGTATGCATGCTTTTGGCTGCAAGTCGGTTGAAACCAGACGGACACTTCCCTTTGCTTGGACGACGAGGAGGCAATTGATAGCCAGGACTAACTCTCCCGTATGGTAGATCATGAATTTTGATGTTACATATTAGCAGAGACGCACGTTCCTCTGACGATTGGATTGCATCACATAAGCCACTTCAACCATGAAGGCAACATTTGAAATCGTGATCAAGTACGGTATCCAGAACAATAGTGAGACTTTCCCGCAGTCAGAGATGTAATGTGTGCCTGCCTTCTGGTGTGTGTACTGCCTTTTGGGTGAGAGTCATAAAGCATGCAATAGGCATGGCGTCCTGGGATCGAGATCGAAGCGCAGCTCTTGACGAACCACGGAACCGCAACGGCTTCTTATACGTGGGCGGCGCCTTTTTGTGGCCAAATGCATCGCGATCCCGCAGCGGCACAAAGAACCTCAACCCAATCCTACATTGCTAGCCCTCGGAATAACTTGAATGTCGCGAACGAGACACCTTGGATGATTCAAATATCATGCCCGTTGATGACGTATCGGCAGGAAGCCGACCATAGTGCGCCAACCCGCCATGGGAGAGAATAGGATTGCGTGTCGCGTAGAAGAAACCCTCATCCAAAGCAGAGCTGCTGACACTACTGTCGCTACTATAGTAGTAGTACAGTTCAACTCCCAGAGCACATGCCAGGACCGTGTCCACCAACGAACCCTACAAGGCCACCCGTACGCTTCGCAAAGCTGCCTAGAGAGGCACGATGACGAAGGTTGATTGTTTATAAACCCCATCAGAGCATGAAAACTCCATAACAAACTCCATGACCGTCCAGTGTTTGAAAGTGTCTGGAATGGCCTACGGCAAGGATTCAATCCGTTGTAATGTATTTAAAGTGGTGCTCTACAAGCAAGTTAGAGAAGAAGAGAGGGAGAGAGGAGACGCAAGCTGGGCGTTCGTCTAATAGGTCGGATGCATCCCAGGCAGAGATGTCAAGGCAACATCGTGGATCGGTCACTTGCGTGAGGATCGAAAAGCGTTGACACTATTGTGAGCAAGAATTCGGGCAGGCTTTGGAGTCGTCTTCCCCCACCCTCAAGGTACTCCGGGATTTGATACCAGGATCCTACGGTACGTGCTGCTTTGTACGAAGCGGCTGACGGCGATAACAGGAAGAGAAAAAAAAAAAACTGGCCTGTAAAGCCACGAGGAAGGCTCAGGTTCACTGTTGGCCTCTGGCGTGAATGTGTAGTTTACATACCAGCTTATGCTGCATCGAGATCACCCCTCTACGGGAATAACACCGATACCTAGCATTGGAGGTGGGTGGCAAGCTGCAGATCCGGATGGAAGATCAACGTTGTATGGATTGCCTATGTCATGTAATGTAAATTCCCATCTGTTGCACGAGTCGCAAGCACGGAATTGCACATAGACTTTGGGCCATGTGGCTACCATCCATGTTTCCACCATGAGGATAGCTGATCGGAAGTTTTGCCGATTATGCATTGTGCTTGGAGGAAGCCATAAAACCAGCTACGTATAATGAAAAAAAAAAAAAAAAAAAAAAAAAGGTACACAGCAACAGCACTTGACACTGCATACATGTAGGGGGTTTACTAGATTTGAGATGACGCTGGTGCTATGCTGTTGATAGTTATTATTTTTTCCTTTTTATGGCTAGCGTGGAAAATAATAGAATCTCTGTTTTCGAAATTTTTCAGAATGGACAAAACCGATATATACATTTTGGCTATTTACGATATTGACATCTGGTCAAGCTAGATACTCTGTTAACTGGTAATTATATTAAAATAACGACGATAGCCCTGCTTATTCAAAATGGCAAGAGCGAACCAGCGTGGTTAAGTGGAAATATGTTCCCTATAAATTATAGCATCTCAATTTTCGAGGCCAGCATCTGCTCGCCAGACTAGCCTTTTAGGGGAAATTTGACCTGCCCAACAGCATGGTCTCAAATCGGGTAAACCCCCTACATGTATCATTAGTATGGATTTAGTGGCTAAAATGTAGTGAATGCAGCAAGTACAGACAGAGAAAGTAGTGCACTGATCACAGACCCACAAGTCTGGGGCGAAACATACATACACTTGGGTTTTCATCAATTGCATGTGGCCTAGAGAGTTACGCTGTGGTAACACAGAATCACCGAAACTTGACCTGGATAAATGTACATGTGTCTGCGCTCCTGTCGAATGCAAAGCACGTGGTCAGCTTGCCAGGCTCGCTGTCTAATCCAGTATAAGTGACTAGCTAAGAGAGGAAAGCAAGATTCTGTCATCATTTATATATATCTCATCTAATAGATCGTGATCTGAGATGTACCTACTCTATAGAATATGGTATGTAGCGTTCCCAGCTCACGTGCGGACTTCGCTTAATTGCATATCTATACGGTAATCCATACGGAATAATCAATGCAGATTCATTGAATACTGTATTGGCTCTAAGCCTTTCCCCACGCGTTTGACGGTCAAATCAGCTGCGTCACAGTTCTTCATTTTGACACCTTCTCACCTCCAACGTACGACGTTGCCATCGGGATCTCGATTCCTCTCAGAGAAAAAAATAAGTTCTGGATAATCCCCAAAACATCTCGTGTCTCCCGCCCCTGTGTATTTCCCCATCGACGATCCAGAAAAAAAAAACGTACCTTTTGCTCAGCGGTGGTTTGTCCAGTTGCGGGCCGCTCCCCTCTCTCCTTTCCCCTTTCCTGGCATCGTTTGCCCTCGTTCTTCTCGTCTCTCTCCTCTCCATCTCGCGGCCTCGCTCGTCCCTCGTGACCATGTCCCGAGACGACAAGGCCAGTAGCGGCCCTGCAGCAGGCCCATCGTCAGAAGCCGATTTGGCCCAGGTGCGTATTTCCCACAACACTCTCAGCCCTCTCTACCACTGTAGATTTACTCTACCTACCGTCCCGTTGGGGTTACCACATTTAGTTTCTGCCCTATATGTCAGCCCAGTTCCAAATGTGTCCATTCAGGCAAAGCCACAAACCCATCAGAATCCCATTGCATAGCGGCATTCGCGTGCCTGGTTGGTGTATCGCCCATCCCCACAGGCGCAGCGCTGACTATTGGACCGTTCTAGGCCTTTCGCGAGCTCGCCAGGTGAGGCATTCCGACTTCGACATGTTCTCGACCGCAAAGAAAGAAAGACACACAGACAGACAGACACTCAACGTATCGCCTCATCATGTTCCATATGGTACATTCATGCGAAACTCATCTTGTCTACCCCATACCCTTTTCGCATGCATCGAAAATCTTAGCCCAAGACGGGTCCAGCCCTTCTCGCCTCCTCCCCGCCACGAACTGCATACCCAACGCTCGAACTTTTTTTTGTGTCCTCTTTCTTCCCTTCTCTGTTTACCGCCATCGCTCGGCATGCCATTTTCCAGAATCCCACCCCGAAACCCCATCCCCTGAGTTAAAAAGCCCCTGCTGCCCGCCACCACAATCTAGACCTGGCCGTCGCAAACAGCAATCGGGTTCCCAAAACCCCATGTGACAGACAGACAGACCTGCATACCAGTATCAGCCCATTGCCTGCCTGTACCATGTATAGTCTCTCTTCCTCGACTATTGTCGTCTACTACCCTTCGTACATGGAATAAGGCACTATGTTGCCGGCCGTTCGGGGTCTGGACCCCCACAAGCGGTGTCTCTGGTGACTGGCGTCCGCAGCTGAGAGAAGGCTACTATTCTTTCGAGTAAAGTATAGAAAACGGGAAAATTCGTTGAGCACATCGCAAGTACGATGCCACCGGTTGAGTTGACAAATCGTGACCAGCTACTGCTGAGCCAATGAGGGCGGCTTGTTTTCTTTTCCCCCAGTTGTATCGCCTGACACACGCGTCGTCGCTTGCACTCAGATGAGGACTAACCCACAACTTGTCAGGGGTGAACAGCAGGCCACCGCAATGGAGGCGAATTTGACCAGGCTCGAAAGCAAGCTTGACGCTCTCCTTGCACAGTTTGAGGCGGACGGCGGCGCTTCCGTGCTTTCTGCAGATACACCTGGTTCATCAGCCAGCACTCAGGAGCAAAAGACGAAGGCATCAGAGGAAAAAGGCAAGACAGACAACAAGTGATGCGCCTGAGCAATCCTAAGGAGGCGACTCATCTATTACATAGTTCAGGATGAGGACGCACAGCAAGGCAAAGCATATTTCACGTAGACAAACTAAACCAGCCCAGAGAGGAGCCATTGGGAATACCTAGATCTTTTCTCCAACCTTTTTCTGGTTCAGACATACACATATACACACAAGCATACCATAACTACCTCTCGAGTAAGTAAAGGATCAATCAATTCCAATTGACACTTGCATCGCATGTTCCACGTGGCAAAGATTCAGAACATGTCAACCACGTCAGAATCATCATCTATACAAGAGAATTCAGTCCCTATGGTCATGAAAAATGATATTTTCACCATATCAGATAACACATTTTGGAGTTCATAATATTTTTTTCTCATTAGATATCAATTCAGCAGTCTACCGTGAGACGTACTTTTTTTTTGTCTGTATGAATGCATTTACATGAAGAAACCCAAGAAAAGGCATATAAAACTGTTGCGAGACCAAACCATCTTTAAGGGGGGAAATAGAGGGATGATCATCTCTTGTAATCAAGGAATTCCCGCAATGCACAGAAAATTTACTTATAACCCAGAACGACGGCAAAACACAGTCGTCTTGAGGACGTGTAAAGACTTCCGACGCACCCAACAGAAAAATTTGTGTTCGAAAAAAAACGACAGTGTTAAACAACCTTTTCAAGGTGTTTCGACCAGAAAAAAAAACCGAGAACGCCAGGATGAGAATCAACGCCACGTATGTTCAGACCACGTTTGTCTAGTAAATAGACACCCCAATCCCTTCTCGCAGAGCTATGATCATATGCCCACCTCGAAACGAGTAATGCTCCATGGCTACTGAACTCCGATGATTCTGTTGAGAATCGTTTGAAAAAGACCATAGACTCCGTGTCTTCCGGACCAAGGGCGCAAAATTGCGGATCCAAGTCTGAGTACCCTTTGGGCTTCCCTTTACAAATGGTTTGTGTAGGAAAACTGGGCAACCTTCGTCTGGCCGGCTTTGCTAAGAGCTCAGCTCTACCAGCATTTCTTTTTTTTTCTTACTGACTGAGAGCTCTTACTAAGGTCTGTTGGGTCGTAGGATTCATTAGCTTGGGGGGTTTGATTACATGTCGGATAGACTTCTACGTGCCGCTGCTTTCATGGGATCGTCTTGATCCGCCGTAACTAAAGATGGGCTGTCCAAAGTTCCGGTGAGGCGGGAAGACGACGTCAAAGCTCGAGCCTCCAGATTGGGACGTAGAGCACTAGGTCCGCGCTGCTTTTCCGGCGTGCTGCTGTTCTTCTCCTTTGCGAGGTCCAGTTCTCTTTCCCGGTTCTTCTCAAGTAACGCACCTCCAAGCGTAGCACACTTCAAGATAGTCTGGATGAGGTGATTCTGTTGCAAAGGTTTGGAGAGATACTCGTCCATTTGAGCTTGGATACACCTCTCACGATCTCCCATCATGGCGTGTGCAGTCAAGGCGATGATAGGTGTTCTGTGAGACCCGAGGCTACGCTCATATTCACGAATCTTGCTTGTCGCTTCGAAACCACCCTACAAAATGTTAGTATTACGCCTGGCCGGACAAGAGGGAAAGATTACGTACCATGATTGGCATTTGAACATCCATGAGAATGACATCAAACTTCTTCTTCTGGATGGCCTCGACAGCCTCCAATCCATTGCCAACCACCGTCACCACATGATGGTATTTCTCAAGAATCTTGACTGCGAGCCTCTGGTTGACACGGTTGTCTTCAGCAAGCAAAATTTCGAAGGATTTGGTGTTGTCCGCCAATGACGGTGTTGCACGGTTCTCCAGAGCTGGAACCATGCCGTTGCCCAGGTCAATTGGAGCACAAGGTGTAGTGAGATATGATGTGATACCCAAGTCCAAGCAAGACTTCAAGCTGATATGTGTTGCAGGTGCCAGTAGAACGATTGGCAGATACTTGAACTGATCTATAGCTCTAAGTTTACGAGCAGTCTCGATCGAATCAACGATGATAACATCAAATGGTGGCTCGTCAGATCCAAGTCCAGGGTACGTCTCTTGGTTAGCCACGACCGGCACCAGGCCCAGATGGCGGAGTGACGCGACAATCTGTTTACCGTGGACTGTCCGGCCGCGATCGACAAAGAAGACTTGGTGTCCCTTGTATGGCTTGAGCTGCTTCTCAATCATGGCCAGATCACCGCCTGCTAGCTTGACAACGCAGGTGAAGTAGAAAGAGCTGCCCTTGCCAACAGTACTACGGACCCAGACATCACCACCCATGAGGCTAACGAGTCTCTTTGAGATGGAAAGACCAAGACCAGTACCGCCGAATTTTCGTGTCATGGAACCGTCTGCTTGTTGGAAGGTGTCAAAGATAAGGTCCAGCTTGTCCTGCGGGATTCCTATGCCCGTGTCCGTGACGACAAATTCAAGGGCATATTCATTGGGATCCTTTGCAGGCTTGTGTGATTGCTGGATGGAGAGTCGGACCTCTCCATGCTCCGTGAACTTAATGGCATTGCCGACCAGGTTCAAAATAATCTGTCGTAGACGGAACGAGTCACCAACGACGTAGTCTGGTACTGAACTCTCAACGCAGTAGGTGAGATCAAGAAATTTCTCATTTGCCTTGACTGCGAGGGTCTTGAGGGCGTTAAAGACAGTACCACGTAATGTATACGGGATTTCTTCAATAACCATTCTCTTCGCCTCGATCTTTGAAAGATCCAGGATATCGTCAATGATAGTCAGCAAACTGTTGGCAAGGTTGTTGACAATGTTTAACATCTCTCTTTGATACTGTGTCAGGTCGGTGTCCAAAGTCAGCTGCGTCATGCCGATGATACCGTTCATCGGGGTACGGATTTCGTGGGACATGTTGGCTAGGAATTCGGATTTCGTCTTGTTCGCCTGCTCGGCAGCTTCCCTGGCCAAGGTGTTTCGCTGGATACTGTCTCGAAGATTGTACACCATTTGGTTGATCTTGCGCTTCAGCTCGTCCATCTCACCAGACGCTTCCACGTCGACAAGTTTTGTGAAGTTCCCATCGGTAGCAGCATTAGTGATATCGCCGAAAGCTCGCACTTGCGTCGTCAAGTTGGTGGCCATCGTGTTGACGTCGGCGGTAATCTCCTTCCACCGACCCTTCAGGCCAGCTACGTCTGCTTGACCACCCATCTTGCCGTCGACTCCGACGTCCTTGGCCACTCGTTGCACTTCGTTACAGAAAACGGAGAGCCTGTCCACCATGTTGTTGATGGTATCCTTGAGTAATGCCACTTCACCTCCTGCAGTGACAGTGATCTTCTGGCTCATGTCACCATCTGCAATGGCTTGAGTGACGGTAGAAATTCCCCGCACCTGCGAGGTGAGGTTGGACGCCATGGTGTTGACATTCTCGGTAAGATCCTTCCATTTCCCTTCAACATCATCAACACGCGCTTGACCGCCGAGAGTACCATCTGTGCCGACTTCCTTGGCAAGTTTGGTAACCTCAAATGCAAACGTGCTGAGACGGTCCACCATGGAGTTGATGGTATTCTTGAGCTGTAGTATCTCGCCCTTTGCTTCCACGCTAATCTTGGTGCTCAGGTCACCCTTTGCGACAGCGGTAGTCACCTTGGATATCTCTCGTACTTGCGTAGTCAGGTTCATGGCCATACCGTTGACATTGTCGGTCAGATCGCGCCAGGTACCTTGCACGTCATTAACAGTTGCCTGGCCCCCAAGGCGTCCCTCTGTTCCGACCTCTCGGGCAATTTTGGTGACTTCAGCTGCAAACTGCTGCAGCTGGCCCACCATGGAGTTGATGGTGGACTTGAGTTCCAAGATTTCGCCTCGGCATTCGGCTTGAACCAGCTGTGTGAGGTCGCCCCGAGCGACCGCAGTGGTGACCTTGGCAATGTCTCGCACTTGAGTTGTCAAGTTGTTGGCCATGGCGTTGACATTCACTGTCAATTCGTTCCACATGCCTTGCACTCCCATAACATCAGCCTGACCACCGAGCATGCCCTCGGTTCCTACATCGCGGGCGACCCGGGTGACTTCGGCAGCGAATGTACCCAGTTGAACAACCATAGTGTTGATAGTCTGTTGAAGCTCAAGGATCTCTCCCTTCGCCGGCCGCTCAATCTTCTTGGTGAGATCTCCATGAGCGACAGCTGTGGTGACTGAAGCAATCTCGCGCACTTGATCGGTGAGGTTTTGGGCCATTACATTTACTTGCGGCAGGTTAGCGGCTGAATAAATTCACAAAACGACCAAATTCGACTCACCATTGTCAGTAAGCTCTTTCCATGTGCCGTCGACGCCGGCAATCATGGCTTGACCGCCCAATATGCCGTCCGTGCCGACTTCACGTGCGACACGCGAGACTTCACTCGAGAAGACCTGAAGTTGATCCATCATGGTATTAATCGTTCGCTTGAAGGTGGTGATTTCTGGGTCCATTTCTACCGAGTTCATCCGCACTCGCTTGCTGAGGTCACCGTGTGCTACAGCAGTGACAATCTCACCAATCTCACGGAGAGCCTTTTGGAAAGCTTCGTTGGCTTTTTGATGTTTCCATAGCTCTCTTTCGAGGGCTGCAACACGCTCTTCTTCCAGGATTTTCAGTGCCTTTTCCTGCAATTGTTTTTGTTCGACGAGTTGTGCGTTGACATGTGTCAATTCCTGCCGTTGGTTGTCAAGTAATTTGGACTGGTCATCAATATGTTCTCGCAGACCTTCCAGAGCCTCATCCGTCAGAGGAATCGTCTTGAACGTTCGCTCTTCCTGGCTAGCGGGGCGGCCTGAAGAACCCGAGGAAAATTTTGAGCGCATATACGTCTTGCCATTGCTCGATATGGGCGACGAGGACTCGACACCAAACATGGAATCGACAGTCTCGCTAGGGGTGTCGGGAAAGATTGGGGCAGTCGAGATGCTAGCCTTGGCTTCTAACCTTTGAATTCGTGCTGCTAGGGCTGCGAGTTCCCGTTCGAGGCTATCTTTGGCATCGCTGCTGGGTCCAGGAAGTTTGCATTGTTGCTGATCGCCGCCGGTGTGGGCAGTTGCGTGCAATTTCGAGTCGTTGGCCATTGATTTGACCATGGCGGCGGCCGCCGCCATAGTGGTTTGATCAGCCATGGTGGTCGCAAAGGCACCGCGGCCGAGGACAGAAACCAAAGTGGCTCCGAGAGGTGGTGCAGATTACAAGTGTCGGTATATAGAGGTCGTTTTTTGTTTTAGCGTAAGGAGCGAATGATGCCAGCGAAAGCTGATATCGGCACGAAAGATTCACGAGGACGGTTGCATCCTGTGAGGAACGATTTAAAACTGGAGACGAAGCCTTGGCTCGGTAGAGAGCAGTTTTGTGTTGATAAGAGTGAGGATCGCAGCACTCTTTTCTCCTCTCCGTAATCCTCTGAGTCTCTGTTGTGCGTGATGGCGACGGAGCGTACCTCGGGGTAGAAAGGCTCAAAGAGGTAACAACTACTACTACGACAACAACAACAACGACGACGACGACGACGGCAGCGAATCTCGCGTGGGTGGCGGGACTGGCGGAGGAGAAGGGACAAGGACGACAAAGAAAGCGCTCGCTCGATGGGCACGATAGTATTTTTGGGGAGGAGGAGGAGAGCGGTACTCTAGCTGGGCCACGAACAATGCGATTAGAGAAAGAAAACTCCCTGACTACTGCCGAGCAAGAAGCGGCAGATGGTGGGAAGTGGGTGGGCGAGTGGAGAGCGTGTGTGCTGGAATTTGGTTTTGGTTTGGTTCGCTCTCCCTACCTTACCTACCGTAGCTGCTGCGCGCGCTCGTTCGCTTCATACTGGGCTGCTAGCACTGCTAAGATGGGTGACAAGTGCAGCACAGCCAGTCACAGCGCAGCGCTCCCATGCGGTATGGGGGGCGCTAGAGCGACAAGGGTTCAGGGACCCATAGTGGCCAAGTCCATGTAGGTAAGGTCGCCCGTCTGTCTGCGTAGTGCAGCCCGAGCTCCCCATTGACTTCCAACAACCCGACGCGGTCGGTCAGGGGTCGGGGGGAAGCACTTTTGGAAAAGAAGAAGATCGATTGCCAGCCAATGGAATGGTCACTCTTGGGCTCCAAAAACTACATGAGGTGCTTGCGACAAGACAGAAGGGTTGCGTTATCTAACCGCTTCAAGGTCACGAAATGCTTTTTTAATATTTGCTGCATATTGATCAGGTAGTAACCTGGGTAATGTGCTCTATCTTCTACCATTAATGTGCATTATGACCCGCCCATATGGTGAGAAAAAGGAAGTAGCCGAGAAGACTAGAAGAAGAAGAAGAAAAAAGAAACAGGAAGGAACCCCAAAAGAAGCTTCCAACCTAGAAATCTCGTGGCGAAAGGGAAGAAAAAAAAAAGGAATCTCGATAAGAGCAATACATGGCAAAACATCCTTCATAACACTACTACGTACTACATGGAGTACACTCGGTGCCATGGTCTCAATCTACTCTCTCTCTCTCTCTATCTTTCTTTCTTTCTACCCATAATATAGAGGCTGCGGGGTCAACCACCATAGTATACACACATATCTATCTGTCTTGCATGTGTGTTTATTGTACGTACTGGACATCAAATGCCAAGTGCTTTCATCTACGTACTGTACGCAGAGCGGCCAAGCCGACGACAATCGCGACATCCAATCGACACTTTCCGTCTTGCTTTTGTCCCTCGAGTCCTTCCCATCCCTGTCCGATGTCACACGCCTCACCTGAAAGAGTAGTGTACTGTGTGTAATGGTCGTCTGCAGTTCCCACTCTAGCGGGCGCAACCACGCGAAAGACGGTCAGGTATAATCGTTGTTCACCCACCAAACTAGCGCCGCCCAGCACGCTTTGCTTTTGCCGCAACAACGGTCAAGAGGGCGGCGACATTCAAGCCTTATCCCGTACCTGACGGCGCACCTGCTCTCTGTCCTGGAATCAGGAGGAACCACGATGCTCTCAACCCTCCCTTCCCGGATTGCGAAAGTGTTGATAAGCCAACCGGTGCTTCACCTCACGCAGCCGCTCATCTACCACAATGCATCATTTAATTACATCCATACCTGGGGTCGAGACTCACCTCGACCCGGGGAGGGAGAGACGCTCCGGATCGAGCCTCCAGCTCCAGTCCTCCTGATACCCTGTCCTGTGCCGCGTTCCGTGCGACATGGAATTCGTCAGAAAAGGTTGATAGGTGTGGATGACGGGTCTTTGCACTCGCCAACCCCTGCTGCTGGCATCTAATGTGTACTGTGTAGGAGCAATCAGATTCCAGCCGCTGTGCTTGGGTAACCTGTCTTATTAGCCAGCTGGTGGTTGACCACAAGAGTTACATTGCAACAACTCAATTATCAATACCCGCCTGTACCTCCCAACCTACGGCAGAGAGTATATATATTTGCGACACCTGTCCTACTACACTACAAAAGCGACGCTCGCCTGACACACCCCCCAACTTGTCTTGCAGTGCAAGCGAGCACGGTATTCAATACATGCGCGCAGTCAGCATTGCTTCCTTTGGCTGATTGGTCTACTTTTCGCCCAGCTCTGGAAAGCCCCCAAAAGCATGGTGGTGGCATGCTGGGTATCGAGAGTTTGCCCAACCCACATGAGATGGTGAAGGGAGATTTCGGCTGGGATGAACAGCCCATCTAGGCGAATGAGGGTGGCAAAGACGCCCCCTTCCGCCGCACATTGGTAGATCAGATTGCTTTGGCCAGGCACGACGTCCACGTCTGCCCCCTCCCTTAACCCGCCGCCTGCCAGTCAACACTTGACATGATCGTGAACCCCATCGACCCGCCCAACATGTTCGCGTCTTACCTGGCATGGCGCTTCATCTTCCTACAATCTTTACTGGCTATTCGACGAGTATACCATACTAAGTCCAGTACCCTAGAGATGACGTCACGCGTCGCATAGCTGTCTAAACTATGCTGCATTGAAAGATTAATTTGACTCTCGGCGCGTGCTACCGTCAGTCTGAGCTTTAGCCTCGTCGCTAGCAACTTCTCGGAATAAATCAATACGACCCCTGAAAAAACCCTTAGGTACACTTGAGGCGGCACGTAGCTAACACTCGCCAACATTTTACTTTGATCAGGGTCTATCCTTCTTCATTCAGGTACGGCCAAATGAGTGCTTCAAGCACAATTACGATCAGTGACAGGCCCTCCAGGAAAGAAAGATACCCAGATCATGCTGCGCGCACTTGAAGCCTTTATACCTGTGACCTGACAAGTCTGTACATATCTTCTTGGCCAGGCTGCATATGCAAATAATTTCCGGGGCTCATCAGGTAGGCAGGCATTCGCTCCAGCAGCAAAACATCATCCGGCAATCGGTCTTACAATGCCTCCCGTTCCGGACCCGTGATTGGTACGCGAGCTCACACGGACAACAATGGATAGCCATGAGAACATGTGTGCTGCGATTCCGTACGTGCACTATAGTACCTACACACCTAGGTGGACAGTTGGGCCCCGCTACATCAGAGGACCCCTAAAAGACCGTCGTCTTAATCAGGAACAGTTACCTCGGCGTACTTTCTTACTTTTTTTTTTCCCCCTTAACGGTTTGACCTCGATCTGCAGACGGACGGCCTTATTTCGAAGGGGGAAGAAGAAGAAAAAAATCATCAAGTCGTCTCATCTCAATTCGGACGGACAGGCGGGGTGATAACCCACTTGGTAGGCTTTGGCAGGATGGCAGGCCTCCAACAGTAGAGTGTGAGAAGACAGTCTTTGCGTACGTTGACCCACCATGTCTTATCGAAAGGGGAAACCCAGGACAAAGAAGAAGGGGAAAAAAATAAACCGTTCCAAAACAAATCATCGTTGTGGACAAGACGGTTGTGAAGCTCCGTATTCCGTCCATCGAGCGCAGATCGGCCCGTCGGAGTCCCAAATTATGATTGGCAATCGACCATGTCCGGGTCCGGGCTTATTCACTTTTGGTACGCTAGGTACGTATCCGTCAGTCAAAAAAGTCTTGCCAGAGTGCCCAGCCACAGCCAACCAGCGAGCCGTCCACTATACAACGCGGTCAAGGGCATTGGCTTCTGCAATTCTGAAGCTCTTTTTTTTTTTTTTNTTTTTTTTTTTTTTTTTTTTTTCCCAAACTTCCTTGGAAGTCAAGGTCAATGCCATCTCAGAATCGTGTAGATCTGTAAAAACTTTACCGCCAGATACGCAAATGTGAGGTCATTCAGAGTCCGAGCCCCCTCCCCAGCTGGTTGTTGCTGTTACCGCTTCTTATTATAGATATCCACACCTTGGTCCATGTTGATTCGTGATATCGCAAAAGACGATAAATGTCATGACAACTGACTCGGTTGAAGTTAGCTATCGAAAATACTAGCTGGGTAATACATAGTATGGCTACTAGGTTACTAGGATGCTGACACCGTCCACTGTGTACGCGCGAGCCGTTGAATCTCTGTTGGAGCCTCTACTTTTTACTGCAGCTGAATCTCCACTGAAATGGACCCTGAACGCAGATGAATGGATCCTCCTCGGTTCCATGGCGAGCTTGTTGAGGAACACGAAGAGGTTGGCTTGGGGTTGGCGCTGGAGGAAGAAGAGACCAAAAAAAAAAAAAAAAAAAAACTCTTGACTGGAACCCCATTCTCGTTCGACTAACAATAGATTACTGCCAAGCTGGCGTGTCGTATCCATCCGCATTTTTAGCATCGTGAACTCTCCGTTGCGATAGCTACATGACCAGCTACCTAGGTATTTTAGTCAGTCCAGTCAGGCGGCCACTATTAGCCCCATACTCCTTGTCAAAAATCCAGAGCGGCATTACACAGTATTAAAGATGGAATGTGACAAGATCAATTATCAGGCCCAAATATCAGCGATCTCTCCAAATCTAATTGTCAAAAGAAGGCATCTTGGCTGCATGCACTGTCGATCTACACCAACCTAAGCTATAGGCAATGTTTCAGCCTGAGATATAACCCAGCATCCCACGACCCGGAACATGATACATGCTTGCCCACACCCACAGCACAAAGACGCAACCGCTTCTGGTCAATGATGGACATTTGAATTGCGGGCAACGGGGTTCGCACACACACACAAAGGGCCCAAGGAATAACCATGCCAAACCTAGTGTAGTGTAGTGTATTTCCCGCAGGTCACTGTTGCTGATGGCTTGGATGGCAATAGCTGGTTGGGTTAATAAGGTAAGGCAGGTCATGTAAAAAGGCACCTTTGGCACCTTTCGTCTTCTTTTTAACTGCTCATGTGATCTTGTCGATCGCGCGAAAACAAATGTACATGCATACTGTGTAGAAAGCGGAACCCCCGCCGTCTACTTTTTTTTTTTTTTCCCAAAACGCGTGTACGATAAACCGATCGATATACGCCACTTTTGGTCCTTGCTTTCTCTCAAAGGAGGGAAAAAGTACGAAATCATGTTTTAACTGTGATCAACCATCTAGTTTTTCAGCTCGTCCATCGAGAGTTATGCACATAATATAATAAAGACTGCGAAATTTTGCTCAAAAGCCATCATAGAACCATAGTGCTACTAGTATGCAGCAGCAGCACGGAAATCCGCTCTGCATAATCACATGGTACCATTTCCCAATAGACAGCAACCAACCAAAGAAGAAGAAAAAAAAAACTTGCACCGTTTCGGACTTCCGTTGCGATTCGTTCCTTTTTTTCCCACCCCCACACTCTTCCATTTCTGCCCAGTCAAGCCAGGTCAGTTTGGATTTGGGTTGCCTGGCTCTTGGCTTTTTAAACTTGCTTGCCCTTGCTGGGCTGCCAAAAAATGGTTCGATGTTTCGTTTTGTCTTTCTGCCCAAAGAGATAGAAGGGGAAAAAAAAAAAAAAAAAAAAGAGAGAGTTTTGGAAGTCGGCATCAAGCGTCCTTTACCTTGAAGATCACTCGCCCCAAAGAGACCCCCCCATCTTGATCAATGTATATATATGTACTTTGTAGTAGTAGCCCTGGGGATAACGGCACATTAGGCATGCACGTCAAGTTCCCAAATCAACCCCCTCCTTAGAGATCATGAGACCCCTCTAGAATATTTTAGACCCCGACTTTCTCCTTTTTCAAGGAAGGGGAAACTTCTTTCATCCCTTTTAGTAAAGCATCGGCTTATATTAAAGGATAATCACGTGGCAAGGTCCAAATGTTCATAGTCGTTAAATTTCGAAATTAGTACAGAATCAATTAATGGACCTTCATTTCCTAATAGGGATGTTATAGTTGTTTATCCAGTGTCTCGGTTACATGTCAAACGTGAATTGAATAAAAACAACATAACGGATGAATTCAAACTATCGTGCCCTTGGTCTCCAGCCATCCCATTCGTTTCCATGACACCCAAACGCTTGCTAAGCTTCGTGAGGGTATGTATCGAGTGTCAAGTCTTCAAAATCAGTACTACAAAGCTCTTGACTCCTCATGCTGGTTGACGCCTCATGCGACGGAGAAAAGAAATGAAAAAGAAAATAATAGTCACAAAACTCAATAACTCGAATCCGCCAACCCACCATTAAAAAAAAAAATACGCAAAGTCTGTGGGCTTTAACAATGATCTTGTCTTTCGTACATCTCCATGACTCCTCATAATTCATCTCCTGGGAACCCCACCTCTTCCAAAGTTCCCGCCAGAAGCCCAGCCTTGGTTGATGCTCTGCTTCACTATTAGTGCAGCAGCTTGCGCCGCAGCCTGGCGTCCCTTCTGTCGATTTCGCTCCTTCAGGTAGTTGGCTGCCTCGGGTCGCATTCGCAAGATTCGCAAAATCATATCGTCGCTGGGATCAGCTTGTGCTTCCTTTCGTTTCTCCTCCTTCATCCTTCGCATAGTGCCCAGGTTGCGGCTCATCATGATACTCTTGCCTCGCCTGATTGTACCCATGGAAGCAAATGCCGGGCCGGCAGATCCGCCGTAGCCTCCAAATGCTGCCGGCGCACCCAGTCGGTTTGGATTGGCAGCAAGTTGTTGCTGCATGGCCTGCTGAGCGCGTTGAGCGGTGGCGGCAGCCATACGTTCCGATGTGTGGATGAGGTGGTCCGTGGATTCAAAATAGAAGAAGTTTAGCGAGGCGAGCTCGTGATACTTAGGCGACTTGAGCGCCTCTGCTGGAACTCCTAGTACTTCGCCACTTTCAGAATCCCGGGCGTGGAAGAACTCGAACAGAAGTTCGAGCCACTTGTAGACGACTTCAGCTTCGCGTTCGGTGAGCGGCCTTTGATTAGAAGGCTTCTCGGACAAGGGCGGGACGAGCAGAGACTCGATAGCCATGAGAACTTCTTTCCAAAGCCGGGTCATCACAGCAACCATTGTAGCATCGGTGAGCGTGCCCTTCATTATGGCAAAGTTCTCGTTGAAGTACGTGAACAGTCCCTGAAGAGCATTCTCGATATCAGCAGCCGTAATCATTGGCACCCTGGACTGTCTCTTCCACAGACTCGAGGCAGACTGTAGCAGATTTCGACCTAGCAGATTCTTCAGAGTGTCATGAGACAATGTCGCGTTGATATGCGTGGTAAGCTAGAGGAGAATTAGCATGTCTGGATACTTCCACATCAAAACTACATTCACTTACCTTGTCAGTAATCTTGCGCACCATGTCCCGCTCTGTTCGCTTGAGGTGCCTGAAGGCCTTGCCAAAGTAGAACTGAATGTCGTCACGTTCACCTTCCATGCTTACTCGCACAAGTAGACGTCCCTGTGTATCGAGATCGAGCCATATCTCTTGCGGTAGGTAGTCGCGGAAACCCTGAGGGTCAAGCTTCAAGGTTGTTCTGCCGACAAAGTCATGCTCACCAAACATGTCGTAATCCCAGATTGTTGCCACGAGATTCAATGGACCAGTGACGTTGATATCAACAGACTCGTCCCATTTGGGATTGAGATTCCTCATGATGGTCCTCGTCTTGGCAAGACGTTTCTGGTACTCATCACCTAGCACAACGTATGGATCACTTGTCCCATTGGGGTCACAGGCTTTGAGATCCTCTGCCTCAACAATCTTGACAGTGAATACATATTTGGAAGGTCGCTTGACGGCTTTCTTTGGTCCCTCTGCTTTCTCAAGCACGGCAGCACACGCATCGACGTTGATGAGCTTCTCGAGCTTGTCTAATTCTTGCATGGCATACTCAATGTTGTTGAGCTTGACAAGTGACTACAAATCATTAGAAACAATAGGCGCTTTAGAGGATCATAACTTACCTCGGAGTAAAACTGGAATGGCTCAATCTTTTCCTTGTTGTTCCACGCATCCTTGGCGTACTTCATGAATTTTCCCTGAGTCGTTTGCGCGGCGGCCAAAGCTTCTTGTTCGTTAGCACGAGGCGCGTCCATCTCCGCATTGAACTTCTTGTCAACCGTCTCGCAGTATCTTTCTAGACCATTCGCAAATATTCTCGCTAGGGCCGTCATGAACCTGGCATGGTGAACGTCATTGTCCCACTCCAGTTGGAAGATCTGGTCTGCAGTTTGGTTGAAGCTCTTGAAAAGGTCAATGATAGAGTGACTGTGACGATCCGTGTCCTCGATTTGGCCATCGTGTCCTGTGCGGACTTGAAACTCGTCCTGCTTGATTGCATTATCCACGATACCGGCAGTGAAAACCTCTGCGTTGGCGATCCACTTCCAAACAAAATCCACCAGTAATTCCTCGATATCAAATGCGAATGGTTTGCTCAGTAGGGAATTTTGATGTATCTCCCTGATCGCCACCAGCTCCTTGTACAGCGCAAAACCATCCTCAGAGCCGAATTCCAAGCCCTGTTGTGAGGCATTGGCGATTATAGACTGTATCAATTGGCAGGCATCATTCTCGAAGTTCGGGAACATTGTCTCAACCAAGATTGTCAGAGGATTGGCGCCCATAATCTCCGGGTTTGACTTGTATCGCTTCTTGATCCTCTCACAAAGCTTTACCACCGATTTGCCTAGTTGTACGACATGATTGAAGTCCCAATCCTCTTGCCTTTCAGGTATTTCCTTGTCCAAGTAGACTCGATAAACATTGGCAGCCTGCTCCTTGAGGCCTTGTTTCAACTCCTCTGTAAAGGCCTGCTCCTCTTCTGGTTTGCGAGCGAAACTAGGATCAGAATAGACGTGCTCCTCCAGAACGAGAAGCATTGGCCCAACCGAAGGAGGCTTTGGCTCATAGCAGGCCATCAAGGTGGTAAACAAATCTCTCAGAAGTGCATCATGTAACGTGGTCAACGTGTGCTGATACGCCGCGAAGTCGCGGATCGTCCATCTACTTCTGTCGATCGTGGCAAGGCTTTCGTTGTACAGATATATGTGTGGTGGTTTCTTCAGTTCCAGCGGGGGCGCTTTGACAAAGTTGAAAGCTTGGTCTACTTCGATAGGCGAGGGTCGGGTCTCCTGCGTGGTATCAGTGTACTTGGCTGCGGCCAGCTCCATAAACACCACCAGTCGTGTGAATTGCGGTATGCGCCAGCGAACAGATAATTCAGTGAGCAAGTCCATGGTTTGCTTGGAAAATGGACCTGACTGTTCCTCATCGCCGCCACGAGCAGTATCGTAATCCATAGCATGCTTGGCAATGGTTTTGAAGTATTCACGAGGGTCCATTGGTATGAAGGTATAGTGGGCGTCGTCAACACTCCGAATACTGCTGTTGTCATCCAAAGACAAAGAGCCAAGACTGAGCCTGTGATCGAGATTGTATCCTGAATCGGGACTAGACAGTGCTCTACTGAAATCAGCAAACGCTTGATCCTCTCCATATCCAGAGGTTGGACTAGCGGGCAGTGGCTTTTCGAGCATGATATTGGCACTTGAGAGTCGGACAAGTTGCGGTTTTGCCGTCAGGATCTCCTTCATCATTGCCGATAAATGCGGTGCCTCGGCTCGTTTCCATTCCTGAAATGCCTCGTCAACGTCAAAATCGTAACTCTGCAAAGTGCCATTCATGCCCGCGTTCAGCCGTTGTTGGTACGATTTCAGGTCTCTCAGCGCGGCGTCTTCTGTCCAATTGGGTCGTTGGCTGTCAATGATGCCCTGCACCTCAGCGGGGGACCTGCCAAACAAATTCGCCACGACTTGTACTAATGGCATGTCATTGACATCGTGTGTGAGCGGAACGTCAACCTCGATGTATTTGCCGCCATCCTGGCCAGTATCGACAAAAAGGTTCTGGTCATTGGTAAGGAGTTTATTCTCCAGCGTTTTGAGCCGACTCATGAGTTCCGGCTTGTCTCGGTCGCTACCCATGTCTCTCAAAACATTGCCCACCAGGCGCACGAACATGGCAACGTGTCTGTCGACAAGTAATTTCCAGGAATCGTCTGTTGCTGGGGCACCCGCTCCCGGGCGACACGATTTGGTCGCCGCACTATAGAATGTCATGACAACACCCTCCAACTTTCGGTCCTTGTCGATCAGCTTCTGCATCGCAGGGCTTCCAAAACTGTTGTATGCTTCGGCGAATGATCTTTTGATATCGGGATCGCCGTATCCTGGAGCCGTCTCGGAACCCGCCATGACACCAGCCATGCGTCGCTCAAGGTACTTGCGAAAGTTATGCGGAAGTTTGACACTCGTGGAGCCTTGGGGCAGGAGATCCTTGACCAAGTCCGTGGCGACAGAGGTATACGCTCTTTGCCGCGGCTTTGGAGCTGGGACGAACTGTTTCTGCTTTCGCTTTGGTTGTAATAGGTAGTTGAGGTATGCGACTCGGAGGGAGTATGTAAAGGCATCGTCATACTGGACATCGACTCTGCGAACACTCGCGTTCGAGCCCGAGCGAGTTCGTCGTTCGCCATGTTGTATACTGTCAATGCGGCGGTTGATGGCGCCGCCGCCATAAAACGATTGTCTCGACATCTTTCAGGACCCCTCTATTGTCCAGACCCTGTTTATAATTTATTCTTGCTGGTAATCGTAAAACCTGCCGACCGTCATGTCCTGCTTGGCTGTCTCGTGAGACATTCGATGGAGCGGCGCGGTCTGAGCCTCTCGAAAGACGCCGTCCGGCGCGAGACGTTCGTGGGCTGTCTAATCACTGGGGTTTGCGCGGCGACTTCTGGAAGTTCTGGTGAAAGGAGGGGTGGTCGAGCTACTAGAGATGACGAATCTCGAGGAAACAGAGCAGTTTAAGGTGATTATGCACTGGTTGTATCTGCACGATGGGGACACTGGTACTGATGTAGAGCAACGTCATCCCGCGACCTCACTTATCCCGGACCTGGCGAAAAGGGGATCGGGGAGGGGCCACAGCGGCACGGATTGAGAATTGGCGTCAAACTGCCGCTTCGAAAGTTGCGGCCAATCGACACGTACCAAGAGTACTTGTGCAGTTTTTAGGGCGTCCTTATGCCAATTTGCGGCCAGCCGACCACAAAGTTCAACTCGCACGAAGGTGTGGACTGGATCTCATTACGGGACACACAAAAAGTATCTTTTTTTGTTTTCTTTCTCTCGGTTTTTCCTCTGGTTGAGACTTTGTGCTGCCGCGCCACGCGATTCCCGTATACGGACTCAGACCCCTCTTTGCCTGCCTAAGTAAAGCTCGTGTTCCTTTTCCACCGCTATTTGACTTGTAGGTAGGCACGATTAAGGCAATATGTTGGGCTGATCGAGGCTTGTTACAGTGTATCCGGCGGTTGGGCCTCGGTCCAGCCACAAAATAAATACCTTATGTAATGAATAACAACATGAACAAAACTTGATATCCTAGTCTTTTCTTCAGAGTCCTTGAATGTGCCCGTGTAAGTTGACAAACCTACCTGGTAAGTAACTTGGCTTGAAGCCAAAATATTTCCCACCTTCAATCTGGTGGAGAAGGAACATGTGCACAAGGCGCGCCCAGAGCAAGCGCCCGCAAAAAACCCACTGTCTCGTCACCATCTTTGATACTAAATTAGTGTGCACAGTTGGCGCTCATGTCCAAGCTGTCCAGGACCCTGCTTGTAATGCTGGTTGCCCAACCAAGTGATACTGGGATTGGGTGTTCATATTGGGGATTGTAAGCGTCCATGTTTTATAGTCATTCGCGGTTCCATATTCTACCCATGCTATTGGTCGTGAGCCCATCTAAGGATGCGAGAAATCTGCTTTGGAAAATATGCGCCTCCAATCATCATGGTCAGGTTGGTCCTTGTTGTATGTATGCAGGCCTGATCAGGACGAGTACTGGCGCAACATGTTACAGAGTATCTCTCTTGTTTGCGATTTCGAGTGAACAATATGGACGGAACAAGAGCAAGCAGGGGGGCGCAATCAATTGGAGATGACGGCGCACTGATCAACATTGGGTTGGAACGTGCCGCTGATCAGGAAGCGAAGCCGAATGGAACAAACACCTGGATGGAGTTGAGATAGTCTCTGTCAGAAGACATGCGTAAAACAATACCAAACACCTTGATCGAAATGCACAGGCGTCGGTACTGTCATCAAAGGTCAGTGAGGTCTGCACTCGCATGAATGCGTTGGTGTAGATGTAGGTGTAGATATCTGGTCACTTCATGGACGGAGATTCCGAGGTTTTCACATCCCCTTGGAGTAAAGCGCTGCTGGTCTATACCTACTTAGC